ACCTTCCACGTACCTGGGCTCCCGAAAGGCCAAGTGCCGCAGCAGTGAAATGCCTCAGACCCCACACTCCTCATTTTCTCACCCTCTTTGGTGGATGCTCTGAAGGTTTTCCTGATACAGGTTTTTGCATGAGTTTCCAGGAGGGATGAGATTCACAAACTGAAATTCAGAGCTGTGTCTTCTGCCTCACCAAATTAAATCTTGCACAGCATCATTTACTGGGAGTTCACCAAGTGCCGCAGCAGTGAAATGCCTCAGACCCCACACTCCTCATTTTCTCACCCTCTTTGGTGGATGCTCTGAAGGTTTTCCTGATACAGGTTTTTGCATGAGTTTCCAGGAGGGATGAGATTCACAAACTGAAATTCAGAGCTGTGTCTTCTGCCTCACCAAATTAAATCTTGCACAGCATCATTTACTGGGAGTTCAATGGACAGGTAGAGCGAGTGTTACCCTCTCCTGTCCCACCAAAGAGGAAAATAAAATCCAGTCCAACAAACAAGCAAACCAAAACCCCCTATAAATAGTGTGGAATCTGTAACTAAATGGTTTCCAGTCCCTTATGGCCACTCCTTACCACAACTTTTTTGCAACAAAAAAAAAAAACCCTAAACACCCTGTTCTGGGGGATGCTGTTGGTTCAGTGTAAGATGCAGCTCTTTGACAGATTTGCTCCAAGAGCAGTGACATTGTTTAGTGCTGTGGGTGGCTACCAGGTGCAACCTTTCTGTGTAGGTGCCGTGTCTTACAAGCAGAATAGCTTAAAAAATGAATTTTTTAAAAACCCAGGTCATTTTCAAATGAGGCACAAAATGTAAATTAATGACTCTACAGACCCTCATCCTCAGTGCTTGAGGGAAAAAGGAAAAAAAAAGCAGCAGCAATACATTCTTAACACCCCAATTTTGAAAAAAACCATGAAGTTTGGGGAGAAGTAGCTCAAATACCCGACTTCAGGAAGCAGCTGGGCAAACCCTTCAGTGTGAGGCCAGAAGCTCTGTAGGAAACTCCTTATTCCACGGCTGACGACGAGCCCAACTCATTGTTCTTCTGGAGAGTTTGCAGGCTCCTTCCCGTGCCCAAATGTGTGCTGATGCGGTACCACATCTCAGCCACAGACACCTCCAGCTAACATTTAAATTGGGGGGTGGTGGTGGGGACTACACAAAAATCCTGAGCACGGCAAGCAGCATGCAGGAACCTCTAGCAGCTGGGAAAGGAGGTGACAGCGGGCTCCAGCTGCAGAACTTTCCTCTGTGTTTAGCAGTGTTATTTTTAATTAGAGGGATGTTTTAAGATTGACAGGGATGGTAAGGACTAGCTTAAACGTTAATATTATTCTGTACAGTAAGAAAAACCCACTGAGAATATATGCTAATGTTTTGCATAGGTTTTTAGGGGCAACTAATGACTTTCCAGATATAGCGCAGCTCTGAGTACCGAACCCGAGAAGGACATATCCTGCCCTACTTGTGGCTAGTTACTGAGTTTTGGTTTGCATCGAGACCTAAAGTAGTCTCCAACTCTGAGCTGCACATCATCTTCTTCCCTGGAAGCCCAACAAACCCACCCCATAAAGCATCGAGCCCAGCGACTTGAGGTTTTCCTTGAGTCCGTACGCTCCTTGCTGCTTCACGGGCTGGCTTCAGCCTTTCCGTGTAGCTGCTGTGCTTTACCCAGAGCAGCGCGTGAGTCAGGATCAGGGCCAGCAGCTGCCACAGCTGGTGGAGGTTATTCTCCGGCTGGTTCAGCTGCACAGGGAAAGCTCCATTAGGGAGCTCGCAGAGGATGCAGTTCTGCTCCTGAAAACGCAGCAGCTTGGTGCTTTGCTCCTTAGCTGACACCTGAGCTTAGCAAATACATCCCTAGTAGGGCTGATATACCTGACACTTCCAATTACAGCACTTATTTTAGGGCAAAAATTGAGCTTTTAAGGGTCATGGACATGTTTGAAGCTCTTTTGCGCTGTCAGGGCTCCTTTCACCTGTCTCAGAGGGTTAGGGCCTTTCGCTATGGACTGAAGGGAGAGGAGGGCATGGGACAGGGTTCACCCCAGTCCCCCTCCCCTGGAACAGTCAGGCTGCGCTCCTGCTCTGGCCCTTTCCAAGGGCCAAGGAAGCCGTGGTTGGTGCTGGTGGAGGCCTTGCTGTGCACAAACATCAATGGTTGCTGAAGGTATCAAAAGTCCTATGAGAAGAGCCTCGTTAAACTATAAACCTAAACTTTGTCCTGGGCAATACAGGTCAAAGTACTGAGTAAATATCTGAGTTATGTGTCAAAAGTGCAATTAAACACCTCGTACGACCAGCCACTTGCTTTCCAAATGTCCCCTTGCCTTTTCATGTCAGTTTTTATTGTGCTTTAACTTTCTTGTATTTGTTGAGTGACAAGGGGAAAGCTGAGGGCCTCACCTAACCCAGCTTTAGTCATATGCTGCCATCTTTATTGATAGCAGAGATTAAAAGAACAAAATGCACCAAGACATCTTACACAAGGGTATATAAAAAATACACTCTGATGGAAACACTGCTGTCTGCTATTGCCTCTGTAAATGGGTAAATGGAGTTGTTTTCTGTGATTCAAGTGCTGTAAACTAACTTCTAACATGAGGTATAGATCTGAAGGCTTATTTTTATTTTTAAATAGATGCTTCCTCTACAAAAATTTAGCCAAACAATATTTTTAATTAATGAAATCTGCTAAAAAGATTCTGAATTTCTTGATTTGTAACACTATTGACATAAACAGTTGAGCATGTTTCTTAAGAAGGAAGGTAACAAATAGTAATTGTTGCTGGAAAGTATTTGAAACAAAAAAGCTCCTTCCCTATTCATTAAGGCTCAGTGAGCAATCTTCCCCATCCTGAGTTTTTCATGGAGTTGTATCCAGGAGGCAGATTCCTCTGCTCTCCAGCAGAAAGATTCACTTGAGACTGGTGCCAGCAGCAGCACGACTGGGACTGTCCCAGCGCCACAGAGGCAGCAGGGAAAGGGCAAAGACTCATTTTTATTACACCTTTTATGATAATTATTAAAAGCCTCAATGGAAACAATCCCCTATAATGAACTGTGGGCAATAAACAACCATAATATTTCAGAGAACTCTCTTCACCCCTTGCCATCTGTGCTGCACTGCACTTGCCCGCAAGGTTACCTGGAAATTGCCTGCTGGAGAGGAAGAGCCTCATCTGGCACAACTCTGGCACGAGCAAACACCAAACCGCAGCACCAGTCCCTGCTGTGCTGCAGCTATGGCAAGAAGGTTGCAGTGCTCCGCTGTGTCCGCAGGGGCTGCTTTTGGCTTTGGCCAAACAAATAATTTGGAATTAACATCAGGAGTGGAGGCTTCTAAAGGACAGAGATAACAGAGTATAACCTCTGATCGTTAAAAAACAACCTGCTGGAACAAACTGGGATAGTCATTATTGCTTTGTCATTATCCAGTAATGAAATAATCATCCAGAGACTTTAGGTGTTATCTAGAGCTAAAAGCTATTTTCTGTTTAATTTTACCATGTGCTTCACTGTTTCTATTGATATGAACATCTTCTAGTTTTAATTACAAATAACACATGTCTGCAGAATGGCTTCAGCTGATTGTCATCAAGGTCTCTATAAACAGACTCACACTCCAAGGATGCCTACAAGTTCGCCGGGTATGAATTTGTACTTTCCTCTGAGAGATCTCAATGCCTTTCAAATTAGTTTTTAAGCTTTACAGCCTCTCCAGTTTCTTTCTACATGGATTTTAACACAGACAATAAAGCTGCTTTGTTGCAGAACCACATAAGAAAAATAATAATAATTTTTTTTTTAAAAAATCACTGTTTGAATACAGCTTTAATACAAAAAAATTATTTTCTTTATTAGTCAAGTTAACAGATGATGATAAAAGTAATTAAGAGTTTTTCTCCTTTTTAGCCTTAAAATTCTGGTCTGGTTGCAGCTGTGAGTTAGGGGACGCTCCTCCTGGCAGACTGTGCTTTAGAGAGCACTCTCTCACATCCAGGGTTCCCATCCTTCCCAAACTCTGCCAAGAACATTGGGGTCTGTTGCTTGATCAATCAGGCATCTCACTTGGGTCTCTTCTGAAAGTCCGTCCTCTGGCTCCTTGGCTCTGATATTATGATCAGCGTTGCCACGAGCCACAGCTGCAAAATCATTATAAAAAGGCGACTTCTCATTGCCCAGGCGTAGTTCATCACTAAAATTGAGAACACAAAAAGAAGCTCTTACTAAATGAAACAAGTAAAAAATCTGAGATGGATTTTTAAAATGCAAAACAGTACTTGAATACAATTTATGCAGCTTTATTTTTCAAGATGTGAAGACTGCACAATAGCGTTAGAAAGCTTGGCCAGTGAAGACTGGTGATTTCAGGTGTCCTTTATTAGTGAATATTTACTGTGAATATTTACCATGAATATTTCAGTCTCATCAAAGGTCTCTAACTGGAAGAAGGATGCAGCAGTTCATATACAAGCTGTTTTATCTCCTTGCCTGCTCTGCTGATTTGTGTCTGATCTGTGTCTGTATTTTGCTGCCTTTTCCAGTTCAGCCTTGACCGCAAAAGGGACTCCTCCCAAGTCCTGCACTTTTCAGTATTTGTATGGTTTTAAAACAGGCTTGCTTTTTTGCCTTTTTTTTTCTTGATTAATCCAAAATGTCTTTTTAAAAGAGGATGGAAGGGATTAATTGTACTCTAACTGAACTTTAAAGACATTCTGGCTTGAGCCAGACTTGACTAGACTGACATAAATAACCTAAGAATGCCATCAGATTTGAATTTGATGTTTTTGGGAAGCAGCTGACCTCCATGCCTCCCATACAGCTGGTTCAGGTTCCATTTCAACCAACTGTCCAGCAGAAGCTAGTATTTAAATATTATCCCTAGCCTAAAAGTTGTGGAGATGAACATAAAGAACAGCCTGAGGTGTGAGAAGTTAGACAGGCTTACTGGGTGGGGATGTGTGTGTTGCCAGTAACAGTGAAACTGCTCAGGAGGCCTTAGCTGGAGCAGGAACACTCACGGGAGGTATCTGGTGTTTTGGCTGGCAGGGTGATTCAGAGGGCTTTTATGGATCAAAACGATTCTGACAGGAGGTTTGCTGAAATTTTGCACTGTCTGCATCTTCTCTTTTCCTAGCTGCCATTCTATCTGAAGGGAGCACAAAGTCACAGAGGAGACTGCCAAAGCTCTTAGTGGAGCAGTTTAAAGCAAAAGCAGAGCATCTTACCAAGTGATTGTTGCTGGGTTGGCACCTGTAAGCTTTCTTTTGACATAGCTGACTTTTTGCAGAGGGTACCAGTTTACTTCAGATGTGTTTATTTCCTTAATCCACGTGCCTCCTTTTTTCAGCTGTCTTTGTTCAAAGTTCTAAAGAGAAAACAAATTTACCCTATTTATCATAAATCACATACTTAAAAAGACCTTTAAGCCACCACATCATACCAAGTTGAGCCAGTAATTCGTAACTGCAGATGCAATGGAAGACAAAGTAGTGAGACGGTATCTAGCCTGCCTGTGACTTAAAATGTAATTTACAACTGGAGTTACTGAAGTGCAACTAATTTCAGATTTTTTCCTCTGTAATTATTAGCTTGATATATACAGCGCTGTTACGTAAATTTAAAGAGGCTCAATGCAAAAAAGTTGAAAACATTTATGCTGCTTCCCTGAGTGACATAACGTGATCAAGAGATACCCACATTTTCAGGATTATCATGCAGATAAAGAACAGAACATAGACATGTGATACTATTCTTTGTCCATCAATATAGAATTCTGTCATTTGAAATCCTTTAAGTTCAGTTTATCTGAGAACTCAATAAAAAAAAAGAAAGATAAAAAGGACCACTGAGAATGAGCATCAAGAAATACTTTCTTTGTTATCAGCTTTATCCTTATTACAGCTTAAGAATTTTCACATGAAGAAAAACGAAAGAGGAAAAATCCCACCTTCCAGTCCAAAGAAGGCTCTTTTATAAATACATCCATTGTGCTGATGAGGAGATCTGGATCCGCACGATAAGCTCTCAGGGCATGCACCATCACGCTGTAAATGAGACCCCACTCTTTCACTGGCATCATCAGATTAACAAACTGGCGAGTCAGACGAAAAGGCATCAACTCTGGCACAGGCAAAAACTAGCCAAGGGGAAGGACAGTCATAAGAAAACAAGAATTAAGAAACTTTGGAACAGAAGGATTAGAAATAAATATTTTTTTCTTTTTAAGCTTTGAAATCCTCTTTGTCACTTCACTGAAAATAACATGCAACACAACAGAATGGGACCAAGTTGTGACATCAAAGCTCTAATCATGAATAATTAGTGAGATCGGTTGAAAGCATGGCTGAACTATACAAAACACCACCATATAGGCTCTATGAAACTCTACAGCTCCCTGCTTGTCTAAGAATATCTGGAAACAGAGATTTTAGTCTATTAACTAGAAATAACTTTTAAAGATTACTTCGCATCAGAATGATGGCAAATGAGTATCAAATTTAGTACTGAGAATACATACATAATTGCATATAATAGATGCAAAAGCTGTAACAAAGTAATTAGAAAACAAATACCTGCGTAGCTGAGCCAAATGCATATCCAAAGTCTATTCCCACCATGCCACCTGTCTCCTTGTTAATCATGAAGTTGGACAGATGTCTGTCTCCAATACCGAGTATCCAGTGACTGATGCACATCAGTGCATGAGAGCTGGCAAAATGGGACCGCAGAGACAGGAAGGCTTCAGGAGATGTACTCATTTTCACGAAGGCTCGCCTTAACAAAGCAGAAGTCACTTGTTGCATACAGATAAAACGCCAACATGTGTTTCATGATGTGCAGTCACTAACAGTGTACTTACCGCAGCAGGTCTTCCGGAACACTGCTCTCCCTGCTTTTGAAAGACATAACTGTTTCTGTACGGCTAGCATTTCTGCAAATTAATGAAGGAATACTGTTAGATACTGAAGTAACAGCCCACTGGATGCTAAAAGTTAAGATGTGTACATGCCTGCATTAGAATGTTTTGCTTACCCCAGTAAGCAGTACAGCAAGCCACACACAGAGTTTGGCCAAAATTTTTTATCTGATATTAAAAATACCCTACCCCTCCTTCTCTTTTTCTAAGACTGACATTTCTCAATACAAAACAGTATGTAGTTTTACCTAGTTTCCCCCAAGTTAAGCAGATGGGTCAAGTTTTAATACAGCAATAGAATTGTGCTCTTCCTGGCTGTATAGTTTCTTCCAAGCAGAGAAACTAAGGCTCAAACAAAATCTCTCAGCAGCATGCAGAGGCTATATTGACACTATTAAGTGGCACTAGAAACTGCAGCACAAGGAGAGGCAACAGAACCGAGTAGTTAGTGCTGTGGCCATCAATGCTGTACACGTTTGAGGAGGGAGGGTGACTGCTCTGGAGTAGCCCACATCTGGTCCTGCAGACTGAATGCTCATGAGCAGCTGGAATGCGCTGGGTGCTCTCCTTCCAGTCCAGTTTTGTCTGAAAGGAGCAGAGTTACGCACTTGGAGACAACTCTGCAATGCAAGCCAATGTGAGGTGAGTGGGGGTAATTGGGGAATTTACTTCAAAAGCACGTTCCAAATCTAAATAAAAGTAAAAATGTAAATGCACTCAGTTAAACAAGCCAAAGTTTTCCTTTAAAAAGCAAGAAGCTTGCTTAAGCAGGTTATAAGCTCATCAGGAATGCTCCCCTGGAAACTTCACTTCCCCTCCTGCTAGACCTAGGCAGGTGTGGAAATTCCTCTGAGAGGATGCTCAAGTCGAGACCCAAACCTCTCAGTGAATCACAATGACTTTCACTGTCCAACTTGAGCAGGTGCTCTGGCTCTGAGGCAGCGTACTTAATTGCATAATCAGGAACAAGACACCTAGAAGATAAATTTGAAGAGGAGGATCTGCATCTAGATGCTTTCTTAAGGAAGTCAGCAAGCTTCTGGAAGCACTCCTGCACTCTGGTGGGATTTTGTCAGTGCTAAACTTCTCCTGCAGAGCATCTCCAGTAAGACAAAACAGTAAAATGGGCAAAAATCAGATCTAGTCAGCATATCAGAACACAGACCATATTTTTCCTGGAATTTCTACAACTCTGTGTGTGTGCACATTCTAGTTTCTATATTTTACATGCACTTCTGTTTTAAAACATACCTGTACATAACATGGTATCGAGAGATGCCTTGTGCTTTCCCACCCATCTTGGACAGCCACTCAGAATAGGTAGCACGAGGTCCTTTTTTGCTAGGGACAAAAAAAAGTGCTGATGATTTCCCTATATTGTCTTAGCACTCTGTACTCAAGTATCCGCAGGCTGTGTGCCACTATAACCCATGAGATTTTTATGTACAGGAGGAGTCAGGAAGCTACAGCCGACATTAATTTTAGCCTTGCTATGGAAATTAAGTTTATGCAGTCAGTGCATATGCTGATCCATCCATCTACTTCCCCCCCAGCTTTGAATGCACTTCAGTCATATTTGACAGAAAATTAGACATCTCAAAGGTGTTAATTTGTCAATAGGTACTGTGAAAATTAGATGCTGCCTTAAGAAGAAATACCCAAAATAATTTCTCCAGGAAGGGAAAGATATTTTTAACACAATCTCATATCCATGTGAGAGGCATTATGTAGCCTACCACAGTATCTGCTGCCATTTGTCCATTCCCAAAGGCAGGGAAAGCAGGAAGGCAGTCCACTATTTCCTCGGTATGTACAAGAGGAAGGAATGGGGACTTCGACTTAAGGTATTAATCCGTAAGACGCCCATCTCCATTAGTTGCACTGCTTAGAGAATAATTTGATATTTTTCTCCTATATACACTAGATATTAAACTTCTATTCCAGAGAGGCAGCATCTTAGCAGAGCACCTGCCTTCTCTCTCCCTTCCAAAGCCTGTTCTGTGATATAGAGATCCTTTCCATTGAAGAAGACTGCACAGCCCACCACTTTGGGATAAAGAAAAGGATTTCAACACTTGAGAATGTTATTCCCCCAACCCCAACCAAAATACTGCAAGCAAGGATTTAATCAGAATTTCCCTTTGCGAGTGCTGTCATTCAACCATAGCTCAATATGAAGTGTCTTAATTGACTTGACTGAAGAACATACAGGAAAATATTTAAAGTCTATATACAACAACAAAATACAGCTATTTTTTGGGATAAATAATTAACTGTTTTTAGAAAGACACTGATCTTCTACATTCAGTATAGCATAAATTTTCTCCCCTCAGGAGGTGGTTCCATTGTGAGTCCTCCTCCACTCTTCCAGTCCATGAATTGAGACCAACATAATACCTCTGCTGTTCACAAAAGTGAACCAGACAGCAGTAATGCAGGAACCGTAGGAGTTCCTAAACTGCTCACAAATCAAAGCACTGTAGAAATAAAGACTCTTTGGAGTCCAGCCTCCAAGCTTGGAGGTTCCTCCAACCTGCCCCATAAACAAGAGAACTGGTAAAAATAAACGGTGACAACAACACTTGGACAAACCCAAACAGAGATTATGTACTAAGAAGAATGATGGTAAATAAAACCACATTTATAAATTCCAGGAGAGAAACAGGCTGAAATGCTATAATTAAATCAATTTTACAAATATTCATCCTCCAATTATAATCAAGATAAAAAAGGTAATTTATTCAAACCCAGCATTTGTATGAAGTACAGAGTGTTCTTTTACAGTTGTGTTTTGTGCATCTGCTGCCAGTTTCCCCCGTCACTGACTCACTGCTGAATCCAGGTTCTGAACGGCTCTGTCTCTGCTCTGCACCCCTCCCCTCTGCTCCCCCCTAGCTGACCTACGTCCATTTCCTGCCTGATCAAGAGATCAAAATCCTTTGCTTGTAAAATCAATCCCCTCATAAGGAAATGGTGATGATAATGACGTCGCACATGATTATAAGGCTCTTGTTTAAACAAGTGGGTGGAGGATATGCCAGGTACAATGGTATTCATTAAACAAACAGTTGCCAATTACTAATTTGGGTCAGGAAGTACAAACTCCTTGCTTAGAGGTGCTTTCATTTCATTCTTCTTAAAAAGAAAATGCTGCCACAAGATTGTCAATATCACAAAATTCATTAGTAGTGGTCTCTATTAAAGCAAACAGCTAAACCAAGCATCACCTGTTATAGTTCATGTCCTCCTCTTCAGACATGCTATTCTTAAGGAATTCTTTTAAGGTACAAGTATTTTCCAGCCACTTGATGAGTCCCAGTCTGGAACAAAAGAAGTTAGAGATGTGAACAAGCAGCTCAGGGCTGAACTTTAGACGAACACCAGAAATAGGAAGCAACACATACTAGTGCCTGCTAAATGAAGGTTGAAAGCTACCAGTTTAAATATACTCTGAAAAATAGTTTCCAGAGAAAGCAATTTCAATGTTGTTTAAAAGCAAAAAAAAAAAAAAAACAAAACCCAAGACACAAAACACCCTGAATCAGAATCCGGCACACAGAAATTTCAATTTTCAACATCCCAACAGTAATAGATGTTAACATAAGGATTTCTGTCCCTTCAAAATAAATGCCTACCGTGTTGTCATGGGGATGACCTGGTAAGTTTTTAACTGCATATTCCTTTGGCTACACATAGCATCTTGGGAAAGGATAATGTTCATGACATCAAACAGCTGCTCAATACGTTGGTCTTGTCGCAGGTCTTCACCACCTTTGACAAGAAAAGGATACTCCTGCTCATCACTGCCTCGGATTGTTATACGTTTTGGCTTCCTCAAGGACTCCATTACACTTATCTTGGAAAAAGACAGGAAAAAGCAAAATATTTGTGACAGAAGACTTGACCTTACAGAATCATCACAGAAATTAAGCATATCTGTCATTCCTAGATGGCATAATCAAGTTGCTCAATGACTACTAGGAAAAAATAAATGCCTATTTGCAGACTTTCATGTGCTGCAAGATGTGGACACAAACAACCACCTTGCTATTGTCAAATTGTTCAAATGGAATACGGACACAAATTTATACCACACAGGATTTTGACTCAAACTTACAAACATACCCGCTCATCAAATCCAGAGATTTTTGTGTGGTACTCTGGCAGTGGTTTCCCTTTTCCATCATACTGACCTGAAGTGGTAGTGGAAAAAATAAAAGAAGAAAACAAGTTACATAGACTGATTTTAGGGCTTTTTTTTTTAAAGTGTGTTTACAAACAGAACACACTTCCAAACATTTTGTCAAATTGGTAGAAAGGTAACTAGGAAGAAAATATTTTAAAATGCATGAAAATCCATCATACACATAATAAGATTTTATCTGTGAATTACCAATATTCTTTCCTCATTAAGCTGTTGGGATCACCACTCTTAATGTTTTCAGAGGACACATCCTTTCTGAACTAGATTCAAACATACAATAGATTTATATTCCAGATTTCCTGGAGTCAGGCCTTTAAAAAAAAATACTAAGTTCTTAGGTAAGAGATACAATTTTAAATACAATTTAAAAAATCAGGACTACAGGTTAAGAACAGATTTAAGAGATGATGAATGAACAGAGTTATTTCAGATTAAATCTGCTTCTGCATAAGGCCAGAAAGAAGGGCCACGTAGCCATCTAAAGAAGCTAAAGAGTACCAGCTTCTCCTAAGGGACAGTTCACCATCACCACTAAAGGGGAACTCACCAGGAACCTCTAGTTCGTTCCTCAAGAACTCAGCTTTGAATTCACTCATCCACGGTGAACATTCTTTCAGGTTTCCAGGTTCTTTATGGGTTTTGTTCATTTTTGAGAGGAGAGAAGCTGTAATTGCATCAAAGTCACGAGCCTTCATATCCAACAGTTCTGAACCGCCTCTTCCAAAATGGTGGTCAAACTCCTTCCCAAAAGCCTGAGGTTCATTTATAGAAAGGAATCCTGTTAACACAGTGCCAGGAACTCCCCAGGAACACCAAAATTATACCTTCCTATCTCCACACAGCTTCACCTGAGCTCCTAAAATGTACAGATCATCCTTACACTCCAGTTCTTTTTTCTCCGTTATTTCTAGTCTGTCAGAACCTTTTCACTGACTGTTTGGTAGACCCACCAGCTATTATCAACAGAAATATCTACATTTTACCAGTGATATCAAAGATCTGTACAATTAGATCATAAACCTTTTTGCCATGTCAAAACCATAAGCTTATCCCTTTTTACCTCCTCCAGCTACAATTGGATCCTGGGTGAGTATATCAATAACGCTGCTCATTAAATTTAATACATATACCTCATCTGCTTACAAAAATTTAAGATCAGGTAATGAAATATTAATACAAAAATACAAACATTGAATTTTTACCTATTAAACAAACACAAATTCTATCATGAATCTAAATATAGGATTATTAGCAGAATATTTAATTTATGCCCCTGTCTTTAGATGTTATCACACCTTCAAACTGCTGCAACAAAAACCAAAAAACCCTCAACTGTTCAATTTACAAATGGTATTAAAGAAGATTGATAAGTTAATTTTTTTTTCCCCCCTTGAATATGAATACTCTGTGCTTTATGGAAGGGGTGGGTTTTTTGTTGGATTTTGGGTTTGCTTTTTTTTCCTATTGTTGTGCTTGGTTGCTTTGTGTTGGGTTTTTTTGTGGTTTTTTTTTTTTTTCTTTAAACTAGCAGCAAGCATACTACATAGCAGTCACATACAGCCTATCTAATTTCATGTATATCTTTTGGTCAGCAAAAAAAGTATATTATATGTACACATGATGCATGTCAGCATTTCATGTATTAAGATAATTGTTTGGGTAATGTTAGAAAATACCAATTTAAATGTTTTATTTATGATCACATTTATTATTTGTTATGAGATAACTTTGGAAGTAAAATGTATAAAACCATATTTTTAAAGTATTTTAAATATTCTGATAAAGGAAAAGTGCAAAGACATTTCATACTGATCCATTTAATAAACAAAGTAAGTATTATCTGCAAGCAGTTAACTGAGTCAACTTCTTGTGTTCATAATTCAAGGTTCTAGAAAAACCAGATGTCCCCTCTTGGACCTCACTGGCATTAACAGCTTGGAAAGATATGTAAGCTCACTTGTTTTTTCAGTGCCTGATCATTTTTCTCCCAATCTATGAAGGACACAGCTATTTCACTGAAGTAAATGAAAATACAGAAAATACTATCCTTCTACAGAAGAGGCTGCTACAGTCAACATCTTCATCATTTTAAATCTATTTCCAGATGATCGTCTGATTGCCGTCTCTGTTCTTTGACTTCTTTTAAAATTGAAGGCAGCAAATATTTAATATCCTTAACGCTGTTTTTTAATTAATACAATCCATCCACAGTGTTTACTTTATGCATTACTGGAATATCATGTTAAAAATAGAGCCAAGATTCTTATTAAGTTACAATTGAAATTGTACATAGCTAATACATATGAAGATTACAAGCCTGAAGTACTCCACATATTAGAGCAATTTTGTGTGTCAGTCAAGAGAAACAACTTTTTTTTTCCAGCAAGGACACTAGAAACTATACAGTTATCCTCACGGCACACTTTGTTTCTTCATGAATGCTGCATCATGGAACCAAAGAATTCAGAGTCTGTGTCCCATCACCCCGACCCTCCTCTCCTGCAGCCACTAGTGCGTGAAAGGAATACCACTCCTCCCTTCAACAGCAGGCAACAGTCCCGCCACCCCTCTTCCAGCATCTCCCTCGTTCTTCTCTCCCTGTTTGGTTAATTCGATAATTAAAATCCATTACCACTAATTGCAGCATCCTCTACTACTGCACGTTTCAGCTTTTTAAGGAGCCACGGATTTTTTTGTTTAAGTGGGCCAAAGCGCACACAAACCATCCCAACAACCAAACGCAGACTGCCCTGGTCCTCATGCCTGTGGCGGCCCTTGCTGTGCTTGTACTCTGTATGGCTCAACCTACAGCTGCCCCCCTCCCTCTACCCCATCCCCACAGTGGCACATCCTGCAAATTCTTACCCTGTACTCTGAAGTCATTATCATCAGAGATGGGGGTTATCTTGTAGCAACATATTCAAAAGGCTAGTATGCTCCTAAATTCCTAATTGCCCTTTCTGTTGCTGCATCACCTCACCTCCACCTTCCCCTGCTCATGGGGAAGGAATCTCACTAGAAACACTCAGATAAGTTTATCTAACGCTAATGCGACCCAAGGGTGGCCATATGGCAGTGACCTGGATCCAGCCAGCCCTGGCCACGGCGGCACACATCCAGTACAAGCATACAGCCATGCTTCTACAGGAGGATCACCCTCCCGGCCTCCAGCAATTTGCAGTTGAGGGATTTCTGGATCCAGAAGTGCGCATTTGTATGTGAAAGCTCTCAAAGCAGCTTCCCACTCCCCATCCTATTGTCCCCTTGCTCTCTGAACCGACGCAAGCATCCATGATACCTTGCAGCAGGAGTTGAGCACTTACGTGTCTACTGAATGAAGAAACACTTGTCTCCCTGTTTGTTTTGAACCTGCCGTTTCCACAGAATATTTCCTCCATGCTTGGCACTCCTGATGTTGAGAACCTTATTGTATCTGTCTTCATTGTGTCTTTTCCAACTGGAGGAATGCTAAAGTTGTTCCTTGAACAGAGGTTACTCTGTCCCTCTGATTATTCTTGCTGCTCTAAACCTTCTCTGTTTCATTATATATATGCTGACAATTGCAGACAAGCACTACAGCATTCAAGAAGCAAGAGCCAGAGAAGGCTGCTACGTCAATGTTTAAAAACTTATTTTGTTCTCTATTCTTAATAACGATTAACAGTCGCTTTTCTTTCTTGACTACTTGTAAGTATTCACAGCTGATTTTTTCACAGATCACACATCAAGATCTTGTTCTTGAATTGCAGTAGTCAGCTCAAACTCAAAGAATTTATGTGTGAAATTTGGATTTATTTTTTCACATGCATCACTTCATTTTCCTATGCTGACTTTAACCATTTCAGATCTCAGTCCATTTTGTAAAGTCCTTTCTGTAATTCTCCATACAACAACTCTTCTGATTAGTTTGCTCTATGTAACTCAGTATCAGCAGCAAATTTGAGTAGCATAATATAGCTAAACACACTAAAGTGCTCATACATCCTTGTCAGCAGGATAAAAAACAAAGTCAGATTCTTGTGGAGGTTCATGGGTGGTCAGAGAGGCCCAGGCCCTGAGAACCTGGCAGCATACAGGAAGGGGGAGTGAGCACTGAATAAAAGGAAACATATAGTTCAGCTTCCACTGCAGGACTGACAGTTCTCCATAGCTTCTAGCAAAGTAATCTAGGCTGTACTCCTGATTTGATCTCTTGTCTCATCAAGTCCTGCAGCACCCATCATCTGGTCCTGTCTTTCGACTTTCTAGAAAAGCACACAATGCCAACACTACCCAATAATCACACCTACCTGAATAAACCTCTTCCTCATCAATCCAAGGCCAGGAGCCTCTAAATTTCCCAAGTTCTTGTACATTCCTTCATACATTTCCTTAAGCATATTTTTATTCCTCTGAGGTTTTAACAACTCGTTTTTGACATCCTCAACCCAATCCTGCAAACAGAAGAAAACATGTGAGTATTGAGAAAAACAGTTTACTGACCCTCTTTGGTAACCTGCTCAGACTGCATTTGGGTCAATTCATGTGCCTTTTGACAACCAAAGAGCAATCAAAAGACTGTGGAAATATTTCCCATTCATTCTGTATCTCGATAAAATGTTTCTACTTTAAGATGATTATGTTTACCACCATAGTGTCTAGTGCAAGCTAAGAAAGCCTCTATGGGACCAGGAGTTGTACCAAACACAAGACAAGAATCCTTTAGACAACAGGGTCAGAGGTGAGACAGGGAAGCCCAGCAGAGAGCAGGGAAAGGGCATAAGAACACAAATCATCAGAAATTATAGAGATGGCCACAAATGATAATTCTGTAATGATTTTAGAAAAATTAAGGAAGATTGACCATGGGGAGGACAGAGACCTTTAAGAAAAAAGCCGAAAAGGCCTAGTGCAAAACAGCCAGCTGGCACAAGGGAGGAAGACCATCAGTGAAAGCTGCTGAAAGCACCCCAACATCATCGCCAGCTGATTCTGGGCTGAACCATTTCCTGTGGCTGTGATGTCAATCGCACTGTGCCAGGCTCCACCCAGCACTCTCTTTCCTAAATAGAGGGTGAGGAATGAAGGAGAAGGGGGGTGAAAATACAAAAAAATACACTTTACCTTAAAAAGCATTATGGGATTAGAGAGCTGTTCCAGCGAGTGAACAAAATCTTGAACTATTCCTCCTCTGTCCAACTTATTTTTGATCCTTTAAAAGAAAAAAAATGCACCACAGCACAACAGGAACTATCATCACCACCTAGCCTGCAGATAAGCAATGATCCAGATTGCCTGCTATATTCAAGAATCTGTCAAAATAATCAGGGGGGGAGGTAGGAGGACTCCCTCAGAATTCTTTCATGGGCTGCATGACTGCCCTTGCCATGCAGCTCACAGTTTTTTAATTAAGTGTCCCACTAGGAAAACAGAAGCTTTGTGATGGGAGCAGAGAGCATACTTGCAACAGAAATGGGCATTAACCAGACTATACATCCCATCACAACAGTTATTCAAGGGTGAGAGTTTGTGAACCACAAGACTTTATCTTCTTATTTTAAGTGAAGAAATTCAGCAAACATATCAGAGATTTGAAAAAAGGGAAAATGACACCTAAAATTGTGTTAGTGGTCCTACAGCACTGTGTGATACAAGTTGACCTTTGCCTGTGGATTAACTCAGGTCTTACTGCACTGCAAAATGGGCACGGGAGGGCTTGCAGAGGAAGGTGCACGCTGCACACAGAGTAAGTAGAGAAGACGACAACAATGAGCTGTCATTCCCCAGAAGGTAACATGCATCCATTTCACTGGCCCTCTCTGAAGTGTGGTAGGAATACTTATTTACATATCTCTGCTCTCACTTGGTATTACAATGACTCTAAATGTCCAAGCTAACTTCATCTTCATCTTTGATGGGTACTGACTCTCACCACTGTGAAGTCTACTACGGTAAGAGCCTTATCATGCACTGGATTTCCCTTCAGCCTCAGCAGAGTAGGAAAAGGAAGAAGAAACTTTGACTACCACGAAATTACCAGCAGAAAGGGCTTGCCCCTCTGTGGTCTTCTTGTTTTTCTTTGAAAAAAATTCTAACTTTCTACAGCCTGGGGATTACATGTACCCAACACTTCAGAAAGTATTCAGGCCATCAACCTGAATAAATCTAATAGTAAGAGAACTTATGTACTGGTTCTCCCTGGGCATTTAAATGACAACACAGTGTGCATGGGACTACCTTCTAATGTTTCTCATGCTCCCGAAAGAAAACAGTTTAATTAGAAAAAAAAAAAAATCTCTCCACTCCTGATTAAAAAACATACAAAAGAGCTACTCTGATTGCAAATTCACCTTTCTACAAATTCCTTGTTCTTACAACCAGCTGCAGTATTTTTGAAACAGTAGCTTTCACTGCTGATCATGAAAGGGTAGATGATTGCCTGGGGATAGGTATTTGCGATCTCTTCAACAGTATGTTGCACGGCTACTGCTTCATCCTTGTCAAGTAGTGCCATCATCTGGCTAATCCAACCAATGAACTGCCAACAGGGTACCGAAGAAAGCTGCAAAAACACAGACACTGATTTCAACTTTGGTCCTCCTCGAAAATACCAAACATGGCAAATGCAAACAAAACTGCTCTGTGGTCCAGCCCGACAGACAAACACATGAAAAGGAAACAGAGAATGTCAACTACATTGCACAAAACATCCCTCAACAAAGCAGATTTCATTATTATTATTTTTACTAGTACTACCACCAGCACCACCACTAACTACTGCTGCTTAATAGGTTTTCCTTTACAAAGATTTGCAGTTCGTTGACCAAGAGAAGGCTTTATACTCAACAAGCTTCTGGCTTTTCTGTCTGGATGCAATATATAATAATTTTGGATCACCACATACAAATAACTCAAAAATTTAAAGGGATTGTTCAAACACCATTGGGTTGAAAGTCTTGATTTGAATAAAAAAAAGCCAGGAAGTAGAACAATGGAATTCCTACCATAGTTTTGTTCTTCCTTCAACTTTAAAGGGGTTGGGGCTTGCCGATATTAATTTCAGTAGAGCATCTCCCACTAATATTTCATGCTCACCTCACTCCAAAAGACCTATTACTTTTCAAAGGAGTGCTACAATGTATTTTTTGTGACAGCAAGAGTCCTCCTGTTTCATCCCTTCCTACCTTTCTAATGGAGTTTAAGATCAGATTGCCAGTATTCATCTCACAGAAAGAGAGGGGACAAAGAAATGCCTGGTGAAGCTCTTGTGTGGGTGACATTTGTTAACTGGACCAGGTGTTAGGTTCCGTTTGAACCATCAGTTTCACTGTGGCCACGCGTTGGGCACCTCAGCCGTTTTTGCAAGGTTCTCACTTTCTTGGGATAACTAAGCCATGTTTCTGTCTCTCGAGTTCTTCCTCTAACAGCACGTGGCACTCTGTGAGCACCAGCACAATGGGCGTGAAAACATGGGCAGGCCAAGGTGGGAACAAGCATGAGTCACAGAGGACCTCTCAGCTTATCTGGCCCACCATGGACAGAGGGTATCCTGCTGTGGAATGGCAATGGAGGGACAGGTCGTGGGACGGAGGAAGAAGCTCCAGTAATCTCTGAAGTGAAGCAGGACAGGGAGAGGTAGGAGAAGTGGAAAATGGCTCTGGTAAAGCTGCTGGCTTCCTGCATACAGGAAACTCAGCCTACACAAACAAGATACGTTCCTCACCGTAACCCTATGCATTTTATCAGCCCACTTAAATTGTTCAGATGGAAGAAAAAAATGCAACATAATTTTTCTCCAGAAGCTCTCAAACATTTGGAATCAAAATAATGATAAAAAGTTAAACCTCTAAGAAAAAAGTTTCTGTCCATATGAATTAGACTCAGCAAGTTAGGGAAAAGAAAAGGAACAATGATGGTATGAAACTTATCTGATTTACCTGAAGCAAAACTTACCAGTCTAACCTCTCTGTCCATCCAACCTCCACCCCCACCTTTTAAATTCAATTTATAGCAATATTTGCTGCCAGGAAAATGGAAGCAACTAACCTCTCGTGTCACTAGACCCAACGTCTCTGCTGGATATCTTTCAATTATTTGCAGCAGTCTAGGAAATCTCAGCCTGGCTTCTCTGGAGTTTAGTTTTAAGGCTTTTATCATTTTCTCCACCACAATAGCTGGGAAATGCTGCAGATCTGCAGTGTTAATTTCTGCCAAGAGACATTAAACAAGAATTATCAGAAACACCATCACTTGTGCCATGTCTTTGATCATCTGGAACATTCATCTTTACAATTCAGTATTTTTTTTTCCCCCATGTATTTTTTATTTTTACTTTGTTCTCCTTCCCATCTGTTTGAACTGCAAACATCAGCAATACATGTACTTGGGAGACTGTAAGGATTAGCTTATCAGGAAGCTGCATCACCGCTGGTATCTTGCCTGCTTTAAACACAGCACTACTGTGGTCTGGGAAGGAACAAGGGAAGCATCTGCTGGGTATGATATATACCTTGCAAGCGAGAGGGAGACGAGTGATTCACTAGTACCAAACCCAGCAATAATGGGGGGCGGGGGGGAGGGTAAGGAATATAAATGCTGTTGAACAGGAGGACAAAATGTTACATTTAAATTCAGGCTTGCTCAGTGAGATATCCTGGGTATCACAACAGCTCACGTATCACAAATAAATCCAGCTCATGCTTAGGAGAAATGCTGACTAACCAAGCAAGCCTTCTTCTTCCCTGCGTAGATGCTGGTCACAGAAACTGACTAAAGTCATATAGGCATCGGTAACCCCCATCACATCTACATATTCCATGGACTGGGACTGCACTTCCTCTTCAGACTTCCTCGTGGCACTGCTGAAACACTGGAAAGCCTTCTTGTTCAGACCTGCCAATACCTGAAATTCAACCATAGAGAAAAAAAGACATATTAGCAAGCAGCATTTAGCAATTCTTTTTGAAACTGGAGCTTGGTTGCAACTCTTGAGTAGATAAAACTTTAAACATATTAGATGTTTTGAGCAGCTGATACAAAGGGAAAAAATTGGGATGTTATTTCTAGCAGTAATTTCTAGAATTTTCATTTCCACAATTTTCAGTGGAAAAAAAATGAAACACATTTTCAAGTTAAATTAGTCTCTGGAAAATGTTATGTGGAATTTTTATAACTGCAAAAAAGTTAATGTTACTAGAGTTTCCACAGTTAACAGAAAACACAATTTAAAAATGCAATTTTTTCCTATTAAGATATATCTGCAATGTCTGCATAACAACTCTACTTAGAACTTGTGTTAAAAAAAGCATGTGTCAAACTATTTCAAATTTGATGTCTTTTTCCCTATTACAAACATAGTTGTATTGATCATACGTTTCTCATGCAAAAATGGACTTGAGAAGATGCTTTACACCTGAACGTTTATAAATTAAGTACATGTATTCTCATATTGCCAACAAGCTTACCAACCTCGGACATCGTGGCTATTGTAGTCATTAAATAAAATACAAAATTACTGCAGAAGTTGGAACAACTTTTCCAACTTCATTGGGAAAACGCTGTAACTGAAATTAAATAGTTTGAATTTCAGGTAGGTAGAGGGAAACTACCAGGGTCAGAGTACTGCTTAATATTGTGCTAAAGTAAGGCTAAGCTCCTTAATCCTACAGAAATATCTGATATCCCAGTCTGACGCATCTGACACAGAAGAGCTTTTATGTTCATTTTTTAGACTTCCTTAAGAAGAATGCTCTTAAAAATTAGCTAATAAAGCTTAAGCTTTCATTCAAGTTTCTGCACACCTGAAATTTTAAAACCTTTTTTGCAGGAATCTCTTCTTTATCTGCTTTTCTTTAACAACCATAAAAACACAAATTAAGAACAATTTTTTGCTGTTTTATACCGATACGGTTCATATCTAAGGGTCTTCATGGTAGCTTTACAGATTAGTAGAAATAGGTCAGCAGCGGTACTTCAAATTCTTACTCAATCAATTTGACAGACAAGAAGTCAGTGCCACAGCCTCTGGGACAACTGACAATACACCTGATTTCAGATGCAACACAGTCTGTCACTATGTTCTTCAAGTGCACACCTCCCCAAAAAAGGCAAAGATGACCTGTATACTCTGTCTTGAAAACCCCTCTCCTCTCTATCACTAAAATTATTTAGATAAAGTGTATCAGTATCATTATGAATATTATAAAGATCTCTTTATGAAATAGAATAGTCTGACAGCATGAAGAAGCTCAGAAATGCCAAGACGAAAAAAAGGCATTATTTGAGAATCATATTCCCGAGCCTTGTCTGGCCACTGTGCATGCAGGTGCTATAACTATGTCTTTCCCCTTCACACATAACGCAGGAACATAGAAACACTCCCCCAGCTAAAAAGGCTACAGTGGTGCAGAACTCCGGGAGAGCTAAAACAAGACAAAACAGCAACTACAGCAGTTTTTGGTTTTTCTCTTCCCCCAGCTGGTGCTCCTGGACAAATTACTGCTAATAGCAGATGGGTTTCACATTCTCTTTATCTATCCATATCCATCACTACATACTGAAGTAGTGATTACAATACTGAAACACCTAAAAGCTTTTTCCCTTTTAATTTACCTTTTCAGGACTTTCAAGACTTTCTCCTGATAGTACTGATATTTTTCTAGCTTTTTCTTCCTCAATTTGCTCAAGGCATCTTGGATCCTGACCAAGAGCATTGGCCATGATGTGGTATGTAGTGCCCAGAAGAAGATTCTGATTTCGGAAGGCCGTTACGTTCTTGTTAAGATACTCAGATTGAGTATCTTCTGTTGGAATTCAAAAACAAAGTTGGTAATTTGACGACAAAGCAGCTTTGTATAATAAACAAAGTGAACAAGGAGAAGGCTGTTACCAAGCAGGGAGATGGTTTTTAACACTGAGAGCAGACGTTCAGGACAGCTCTGGTTCCGGCTGCAACTATGTGTAAAGCGGCAATAGGCATAATTCCACCTCACCAGCCAGTCTTCCCGTGTTCTGGCTTCTTTGCGTAGGTCTTTCAAAAGCTTCTTGGCAACTGAGAAGCTGTTCTATATTCAGATTAAGACAGAATTTTCACATAATATATCTGAAGAGGAAATAAAACCTTTCTGCAAACAAATTAATGGATGAGATTATTTAAGCAACACAAGTAAAGCTATAAGATGAAAAGAGGCCCACTGCTTGTTGGGTCTTGTATTGAAAACCAGATTTGTGCTAGAGAAATTTGAAAAGAAAAAAGAGAAGAACAGAGGTTTGACAAATTGAGGCAATTAAAATTATCTTATCTGCATGACTAAATAGGCATTAACTGTTCTGTGGTACAAACATATGGGGAATGTAACTTGATTTATAACAGCATTAAGCAAATCATTAATGTTTGTGTTTTGATGACATGTTTCATATAAAGTAACATTAAAGGAAATCTTATTTTTCATTTACTCCTTTAAGAGCGTATAGTCTACACAGCACTAATATTTGGTTGTTACTGTGCTTAAAATAAACTCTGTCAGTGATTGCAGATTTCTACAGCATCTCAGAAAATGAGGGAGCCCTTGACTTTAATATTATTCGTCTTAAACTTGAAACACCAAAGGCCCATTATCAAACACGGCTGTTTCAGTCATTTTAACAGTCAGACCCAAACCAAAATTTCTAAGTCATTTAGCTTTAGTTCTTTAATGGTGTTAACCTAACAGCATTAATGAAAACTGTAAAAAAAAAAAGTTTCATCACTGCTGACTGGCACATTTCCAGCAATGATAAATTATCATCAATTTTTTAACTAACATTTATCCATTTGTTTTCTTTCTCTGTGGAACTGACTTTCTTGAGCTTCCAGAATGTCCTGGACAGCAAGGTCAAAGACAGACAAGGTCTGCCCTGGCGAAAAGGTGCCCTAGACAACCAACGAGGCTTTTCCAGCTGTAGTTTCTATATGTTTTCCTCACAAAACTGGAAGCTTTCAGACTGTACAGTCACCTGTTTCCTGGAACTTTCTATCATCTTCATTTTCATGTTAAATTTGCAGCTTTTAATCATGGAGTAAATGTCTTCACCCTGTTGATCCACTTCCATTTGGTCACCAGCATCATATTCTTCATCCACCTCCATACTCTCATTGGCCTGATCACAGAGAAGTTTCTCCTGCAGTTTGTCAAGAAAGAAACACCTGCACAATGACAACAGGAGTACAAATCACTCTGGCATGCATGCAAGGGAATAAACATTCAAAAGTGTTGGGTCTGCCCAACAGTAAACAAAGCTAAGAAAAAATTGCAAGCTATAGTGACCACCATTAGCAAGGGCTAAACACAGCCCTCAGAGTCTGGAAAGTCACAACCAAGGACAGGTTGACCCTGAGACCCTTCTAGGATCTTGAATCAATGAGATTAAGTATTAGAAAATGTACATAATAGAGTAGGATTTTTTGTTAGTTTGTTCCTTTAAAATCATAGCTACAACCTCCAAGTTGACCAAGACATAACTTGCATTCCAACTTGACAGAAGTGCAAACAAACAGGAATTTATTTATATAGTGTAAGTTGCCAGGCTGTATTTTTTGTCAACCTGCAATTCAAATATGTATGCAATCAGCACATATAAACATTGAAATTTGTGCTGCAGAAAAGACCAGTGACCATACTCAACATTTGAAAGGGAATTTCCACTAATCAATGCTAAATCCCTTTCGTTCTACAACTAGCCCTATCTAATTTAATAGCATTTCTTATTACGTAGACTGTTATTCAACGCAGGGGAAAGCACTGCAATCTGGAGTAGGGTCTGGCACTGAATAAAGGCATATCCTTTGTCATTTAAGATGAGATAAAGGTTTTTTAAAAGCACATAAAATTATTTAAGACACTGATAACCCTTCAAGTCATAAACATTTTGAGATTTTGTAAAGGAGCAATCCATACCATGTATTCTGCCTAATATTTAATTACAATAAGCTCTTCTGTAGCCATGCTTTCCTGACACCCAGAGATAATAAAACAAATTACAGAGCACAGTGGTTATCAACAGAGATGTTGGAGAAGTTGTCCCCCAGGAAAGGATAAAGAATCTAGATTTGCACAGGAAGAATGGGTTGGGATGAAGATGGGATACCATGAGAAAGACAGAAAACTTTCAAATTCAAAAAGGCATTCCAGCTTCTTCAGAGTTACTCCAAAGGAGTTTCCAAGGAGCCTTTGTTCTTTCTAGCAACAGTAGCACAGCAAAAGCCTCCAATTACAGCACTGGTCATTAACTTCCCTGTAAAGACCTGAAGCACTGATAATGACAGGGCTGGGCTCATGTTGTACACTCCCTAACTTTGGAACTGCTTACAAAGCAGGGAAGTATTTTTATTCATAATGGATTAGCCTTTTGGGTGGTGTTTCCGTGAGCTGAATGGAGCTGATCAATTACAAGTGGATATGTTCAAGGGCTGCTGAAGTGGGCTAGCCTGTACAGTGATACAAGTCACTGAAACAAGAAAATGCCTAAATTAGGAGTCACGTTTCCATATTAAAATGTGATTTATTCCTTGCCCATTTCTCAACCTCCTTTTGCTTCTCACTACAAGTTAGTCACAAAAAAACCTGCTATACTGATAAAGCTATTACAACACTTAAAGAAGTAGTCATACACTGGATCAACAGCCCCCCATATGAAAACAAAGCAGCATTAGAAAAAGCACCTCTCTGAACAGGCAGACAGAACAAAAGCTAACCCAAGAATGTAATTTTACCGATTTGTAATGACATCATCCCAGATGTTCATAGGATCCATTTTAGCATCTGGATATCTGCTTGTCCAAATTCTGAGAAGTCTCTTAAGGGAAGCCTGTGAAGCTAAGTTACCTAGAAATCAATTAAGAATACTCTGAATGCATCTAAATCCAAACAGCATGAAAAAGGCCGAAACCAAACATAGTCCAACATTCAAACCACAAAACTGCATTAAAACAACCGACTTGCATTTCTGAGCTTGTGTTAAATACACTACTTGGTGATCACACTGTTTTTGTTTATTGCTGAAGCACAGAAGATTCAATAAGGACATTAGTGTCAGCTGTCACTGGGAATCACCATTGGGTAGGTACCTTTCCATACAGGATTATGCTGGAGTATAGTGGAACTGTTAACTAAATTTAATAAATAATTCAGTTTATGTAAATAAATTTCAATTTCATGCCTAGCTCAGCTATAAATTGTATAACACATCCATCCTTTACCTCTGCTAACCTCTATTTGCTACCAAAAGTAACCTCAACAAAAAAACCTTAGTTTAAAACTATTACTTACTCTTCTAAAAGAGATACTTAACCTGTATCACAATAGCTAGGCTAATAAAACTTTGCAATAGAACACAGACTTGTCTTCAAGCCTGTCCTGCACAACTGCAATAGTTCTTACTGTCAAGAACACAGTAAAATGCAATTCTAGACCTACTCTCCTTCAAACACGAGTTCAGTCCTCTGAGTGTGGAAACAAATTCAAAGTTCAGGAAACCATGATTATTTAACAAAATGAAAGGAAAATGACATAAGAAAAAAAAAAGTCTTTACTTCTCTTCGTCATAAAATTGATGAAATCCTGTATTTCTGTCAAAGCTTGTACAGACTGTAGTTTGGTCATCCGACTTTGATACAGCAAAGTATCAATGCTGGAATAGCTCTGAAAAGAAAGGGAGAGAATGGAAGACTTAGTATACAGACTCTACAACATGGTTCACCTCAGTGCTCTACAAACTATTTATCTGATGCTGCTATATATTATGCTCTACAACCCTTTTACAAGTAATTTATTAACATGTAATTTGAGAGCAACTCTGCTTTGGACAAGTATAGAGGCATATTCTAGCTGCAATTCCTATCCTAGGCTTTAGGACAGTCCTACAGTCTAATCAAAACTTGGGAACGGATGGAACTTGTAACCTCTCAATGTAATATGCTCTTTTAAAGTTTGTTCTGGGGACAGGAGGCTTCTGAAAAGATGAATGAAATAAACCTGCTATTAATCTGCACAAACAATTACTCTGAAAAATTTCTAATAGATGAAATCAGCAAAATAAAATAAATTAAAAAGGAAGGATGCACTCCACTGGCTGGCTCAGCTCTCATCATTGCAAGAAGTGAATTCAAAGGAAGTTTTGTCATATGATTGGAAAGCACCTAGATTTCATTGTATTTGGGCAAGTGTTTCTCTCAGGAGTATAATCTAGCAGCAGTAACAGCAACAACAGTTTAATTATTCCATGAGTTTATACAGAAAAATCATATTAGAGATAGCAAAGATTGTTACCTGCATGAAGATCTGCATGCCATTGCTAATGTAATATTTGGCTCTGTCAAAATCATCTTGCAGGATATAAAGGAGACTAAGCTCTTGGCTGTAATGCATTTCTATAATGGCTTTCTTCTGTTCTGTCTTCATTGCCTCATCAATAAAAGTTAGCAAAGTTTGGTCATTTTCCCCACTAAGCAGTAACTTCAACTTACTGCGTATTATATAGGGCAGATATGTCTCCTACAAAGTGGAAATAGAGTCTTTATTTCTAGGAATGGAATATAGATGATCAATTTTCTCTTATCAGTAGCAGATAAAATAAATTCCAAAACATTTTGAACAGTTTTCTTAAATGTTTTCCCTTTAGCAAATTCTAATTTGCTAACAAACCTTTTCTGATAGGCTCAAGAAGTTGTTAGCAAATTCCACCACTTGAAAAACCAGTGGGTTTGGCAACTCTTAAAACATGAAAAAAATAAAAGCGATAAAAGCAGCAAAAACACTGCAAGAAGATGATGATGATAAAGCAGGTCCTATATGATCAGCCACAGACTCAACATAAAAATTAAATATCGGAAAAACAGCAGATGTAATTGCTTCAATTATTTTATATATTGGACTCTTTGCTAATTCCCATAATAAGAGTAACCCAAATAATGCAACTGATTTCCACCCACAATCACATTACTGTAGGACATCCCTGCAGAAATAAAAACAGTGCAATATCAACAAAATTATCTCTAAAAACCTGAAAAAACGGATCATTCCACGTTTTGCTTAGGTCTGGAGGCTTTCCACTATCGATATTAACAGTAGCACAATACTCCAGAGACTTCCACTCTGTGAGGTGGTCATAGCACTCCAGAGATGCAAGTTCCCAGAAGTCTTTCTCTGCTTCTGTTGGCTCTCCATCTTGCCAGTCTTCTTTAGAGAGTGCCTAGGGAATGAATTTGAGGGGGTGGAAAGTTCTCAGCTGGAATGTGACACTAGTTTCATTTTTAAGTCACCAGGAACTTACCAATAATTCACCATTTCATAATCCATTTACCAGAATGTGACAGTAACATTAAATGCAGAAAATTCAAGTTTGTCAGTATTTATATATAAATTTATTTCAGGTAGCCAACTTTAGTAAACCTGCATTTTTAAAGAATAAAGACTTTAAAAGAAGATCCTTTAAAAGAGATCCTTCTTCATTTTTACTCATTATAGCTCAGATTTTCTCTGCCATGAACACATCCAGTTTGCTCTCTTGGCATGGAAATTTGTCCATGGTGCTTTACTTGTTTGCCTAGATAATCGCACATGTGAAGTTTTGTAACAACAGTAAAAAGTATCATGTTTACTGCTCATCTGTTCCCGTCTTTACAGACTGAACCATCAATCAAACAAAGCACAAGGACATATTAAACAATTTGCTGCTTCTCAAAATGTTTAGTTTTGGCTTATTAGTTTTAAGTCACAAGAGATTTATGAAACAAAAAGTTGTTATCATTTTACCTCATCATAATATCTAGCTGCTTCAGCATAATCACTCCTTGCTTCTGCCAACAACGCTTTCTGTGTAATTTCCTTAGTCCCAATCTTTCCACTGAAAATGCCACGAAGGACATCATAATCACCAATAGATCGGTAGAGCCTAGTAAAATTGAAAAGGGAAATCTTTTAATTAGTTGAACAGAGGTGTATCAGTGCAAACATAAGCCATTCAAAAAAATAATTCATTAAGCAGTAATACTACTGGCTTGTAATAGTAAAAAAATTTCAATATTTCTTATATAAGGTTATAAATATACATTTAACGAGATAAACTTCATCTTGTAGGGTAATACCTGAATTGTGGAAACTCCTGCAGTTAAAAGCTATGAACAAGCTGGTTATCAGCAGTCTGATAACAGCTGTGCACCCTGATGCTGCTAAGTCTAACTGGTCTAACTGAAAGACAGCAATTAACTGACAAGAAATTAAAAGCATATCTTATTCTAAAAGATGGAAAGACTAAAAAAGAAATCCCATAAGCCATAAAGGTGGAGTTCTTCACAAGGTGCACCTAAATAAGAGTAAATGTTCTCAAACAAGAATTTACTTAGCAAGTTCAATCCATCTGATCACATCTGGGGGAAGCTCTGTCCTCCCACGCAGGCGCTTGGATGGGGGCTCCTCCGCAGGGGACAGAGCCATCAGGGCATGCTCCAGAAGAAGGATGCCCACTGGCTGCTGTAAACTTGCAAGGCAGCTCGTGCTCACGTGAGCTGAATCCAATTCTAGTAGCTCTCTGTGCTGGTAACTCATTTCCTACAAAATGAAACAAAACAACAGGTGTCTGCTTGATCTAAAACCTTTTACAGATCATCTGTTTGGTACCCCTTTTCGTACAGTGCCAGCTTTGGAAATGAGCTGTTAAAACTCCACAAGTTCCCATCTCTGGGAAAACTGGAGTAATTTCCTTCGGTGCTGTTGCTCTTTGGACAGGGAACATTAGAGAATAACCCCTCTATTTCGCCTGTCTCCAGGGCACAGAACAACCCTCTTGACAGAAACACACAGTGGGGGAAGAGGCATATGGGCACATTCACAGCCTCAACACCTCCTTGCTTGTTGGCGGTGTGGTGCCTGCTATGCAACAGCTCCGTTTCACTTAACCTATTGAGCGGTGCATCCCTGTCATAAGCCAAAGGCACAATCAACCACGATGCTGGAGGCTTTCTGTCCACACACTTACCAGTTTTAGCATACCACAGCTTCCTGTTAGACTCATTTAGTACCGTACTCATCTAGTCCTACCTGATTTAAAGACACAACAATATTTCTAGCAGGTCTTTATCCTATTTAACATCATGAATATCCTCCCAAACTCACAACTTACAGACACCGTCCCACATCAGAGGAGATATCTTTCTGTTTAGGGTATTTTGGTGACTATTTGATCCTTATCTTCTGCAAACAGAGGGAATGTTCCTTACTCCATATGCAATGCATTCTGTCTTTACTGGCACCACATGTTCAAAGATTAAGATGAATGGCATCCAAGCTTGCTGACGGCTAAAATATGTATAAGGCAATTATATGTTCTTCAGAGGCTGGGTATCTGTATGGAGTCTATGTGAACTTTTGTCTTGGGGTTGACTTATTTCTTAACATTTCAGATGGTTTTTAATCTGTCCTGAAAGCCAATCCCAGAGCCTAATAGTACATTTTAAGTTTATACCTATAGACAAAAAAAAAAAAAAGCTCTTTTTATCACCCAGTTACTCTCCTGATGGGACTTGGTCCTGTAGAAGACTAAAAAGTCAAACAACCAGAAGGAAACAGCAGAGGAGTAGGAAGCCTTTCTGAAACAAGCCAATACTTCTTATACTGTTGGTATATAGGAAACAGAAGCTGCATTTCCAAATGGCCAAGCCATTAGGACAGTCCTTGTCACCCAAATGACAGCCTGGGCACTGTGTGTTCTTGCTCTCCCTTGCCCAGCTCTCTCTCCTAATCAATATGAACTCTGCTTCCTGATGAGGAAAAGATTTCCTCTCACTGTTATGCAAGAAGCTCAAATACACAGGCTGAGGCTTGTTTTCATCCTGCTGTTCTTTTGTTATTAAATGGGGATGGCAATGACCATTCTTAAAAAGCCCATATTTAACTGATGTTAGCTTACTTATTTTTTGAGTCTTTGTTTATTAAAAAAAAAAGTAGCCTAACATAACAGTGTTATTAATAGGGTCTAACAGACAGCATAATTCAACACAAATAAGAATATCAAGACAGAGAAACAACAAATGCAATATCAAGAGAGAATATTAACAGATAGCTATTGTGAGATGCTGGCTCGAAAAAATACCAAGACAGCCCAGAAAATCCCTACAGCATTTGATCTTTTTGTGCAGCTGCACAGAAAAAAAGTAAACAAGACATTACATTTTTTCAGATGTGTAAGTACAAGTATTAAGAAGCAAAGACTATCACTGTTTAAAAAGCTAGTCCAAAGTAGACATTTTTCCTGTATTACGAATGACATCTGCTGTCACTGAATATTTAAATTTCACTAACAGAAAGAAGAAACCATTACCTGCCACTCAAAAAAATATTATTTTGAGAGCTACAAGTCACACACAACGTTAAGGCCAACACAGTTGAGAAGAGACATGAAATACCGTGACAGTGAGTAGGTGGTTAGACAAGTTTTTTTATCTCCCTGAAAATTGGGGTAAAAGATTAAATCCGCAATCTATTCCAAGTCAGTATATTCTCACAGCAGAAAGGCTTGCATTTCCTTTCCAGTGAAATGGCTGTGGTGCACCCACTCACCCTTTGGTGGAAGGGAGTCCTTCCTTCATTACTGAAAGTCCCCAGACAATTACTTCAGGGGACTAATTTGAAAAAAAATAAACAAGAGTTGCTAACAACAAACAGTCTGACAGCTACTGATATCCTCAAGACATCAAAGTGTTTCTCAGCAAGCACTTTCCAGAAACAGGAAGATAAGCACAGGACACCCACGTAACCCTTTCAATCGTTCTTGTGGCTTTCATTTAAAATCAAGTCTCTTCTTGTTACTCATGCAATTAAAACATTAAAAGGTGACTCAAACTCTACAGATCAGAAATTGCAGAAACCTTGAAAAATCAGTTCAGAGGCATGAATTACCTTGTTCACCTTAAGAAGAGTCACTGGAAACATCGATTTGGTTAACAATTCTTTTTCTCTCTCTGTCTAAATTTCAGTAAAAGCCTTTAACCTTCACTGCCACTGCATTTATCCTGTATTCAGACAAAGACATTAATTCAGTTACTTTCAGGCCAAACAGGAGGATTTACCTGGATGCACGCAATGAATGGCGGGAAGTAAGACAGGCTCATACTCAGGAAATTATTGAAGTTATTCAGCAGCTTCTGGATGATGGCTTTTTTCTCAGAAGGAGTTTTAGATTTTTCTACCTCATGAAAAATTCCACCAAACAAACTGCTGAAAAGCTGCTTGGCAAATGTTGGATCTTTCTGTAAATCACAACAAAAGCAAGAAGGTCTCTAAATTTTGCTATGACACAATAAACAAATAAAATCAAGAGTTATGACCCACCCTGCACTTAATCCCTACGCGGACACTCTTTGGAAGTGGAATAATTTGTCTGGCATGCATCACAACCATGCCGGAAATTACTGTACTACCCATTCAAATCCCATCTTAATTCTTCTACATAAAAAAATTACAAGACAATGTAGGTTTCAGGCCAGGATGTTGGTGGAGAAAGTGGAACTTACAATTTTCACATATTCACAATCCCCACTACAGAAACCAGACACCCAATATCATCTTACGGACACCGATGCCAGTGAAGAGGGTTTCAGGAAAAAGCAGAAGACATCAGTGTGTGAGGAGACCCGAAACGAACATTGAGGGAGCCCACACAGAGACAGACTGTCCATACAGACAGACAGTTCCATCTGAGATTTAAAGGCATTTTTTCAACCCAGAAACACATTGTATGTGTAACATAATCCTACGCAGCCTGGTCTATCACAGGACTGGAGTTTGGTCTAACTCTTGATGTAATGCTATTCAGATAACTCATGATTGTGGTATGTCCTACTTTTACACAGAGATAAGGGACCATCAAAAGAAATTAAATACAAAGGTAATCAGGAACACTCTGACTTCCCAAACACTGTAAAATGGGATAGGTTCAGCCCATAGTTTCTACTGTTCTCGGGTAGGAAAAGGAATATTGGAGCAGATTTACTGGGTAGTCTGAGTCCAGTCTTAGACCCAATAATTTCACTTGTATTTTTACAACTCCACTATATCTATATTAAAGAATAGAAATGGCTGTTTTGCTGCTGTACAGTGAGATGCCCTTTGCAATGATGTCTGTAAAGACCACCAGCATCTGTTTCTCAAGCAGAGAAACTCAGAGCCAATGGACAACAGCTGATGTCTCAGGTCCTCAGTGTTCAACTCAACTGCTCAGGTGGGACAAGCTACGAGGTGTCTTCTCTCATCACTGCACCAGCCCAGGGGTAGGAGAAGCAGTCCCCCAAAACAGACTCTTTAAATGTGTGTCACAGAGGCTGACTACAAAACAATAGATCAATTTTGAAAACAGTTGACCAACTACACATAATTTTAAAACTTCAGAAATTACTTTTGAAAAGCAAAACAGACCTGGGCAAGGCCTTGCAGAGGGGCAATGAGACTGCAGTATTCAATCTGGATGTCAGGAAGGTCTCCTACTCGGTAACTTCTGTACAAAGTAACCTGAGCATCATGCTTCATCTTCAGTTCAGATTTCATCTCCTGAAATGCATTGTTCATGTTAAAATAATAATAATCATCATCATATTACTCAGAAAGAGCTGTATCTAGATCAGACAAAATAAACGAGCATTTCTGAAGTGTTTATAAACTTTTGCCATGCTTATTAAACTAATACATTTTCTATAAACATGGTTAAACACAAAATTATCTTAGTAAATTAAACACTCCAAAGTCTTGTTCACAGACTTACTTCAGCCATTAACTTTTCATATTAATGCCTTATAGTTCCTGCTTCCATACAGGTAGTGTTTAAGTCACTTTTAAAGAGAATGATCATGCCTGACAGCTAGTGAGCTGCTCTGGTTTAATAAGTTACTGCCTGCCAGCTGAGCCACAGTAGTCCATTATATAATGGTTTTCAGCCTGGCCCAGGTAAAAAGTAAAATGAGGTTGCTAAAGCTGGTGCATTTTATTTCACATAGTGAGACAGGGAGGGGAAGGAAGAAGGATGAACCTGGTAGAACTGATTCCTAGTAAAACTTAAACCACATCATAATAAAACTGTTGTAAACAGCAGTTGTTAAATAGCTGCCCTGCCTTTTAGTGAGGCTTAAAGGAATACATTCAAATTGAACAAGAGCTACTAACAGGTATAGGCAAAACCTATCTCTTCCTCTGACTTTCTTCCTTCTCATAGCACCGATACACTGTAAGGAAATCAGTAGTAAGTTTAGAGGCTGGGATTTTATTTTTAACTACTGCCATTAGCAGTTAAACCAGCAGACAATGGGTGCATACAAACATTGGTAGAATGGAAGAGGGAAACAGAAGAAAGCTTGGATTTTTTTCTCTTCTGTAAAGCCTTGGCAATTTTACTGTTTGAGCCCATTTTTCTTCTACACAAGTTCAAAGGGACGATTTTCAAAAAACTTTCAAGAGGAATATGCTGGGAGAAATGAGGACGTTGCTAACGCTATTTCCAAACACTTTCCAGCTAGGGACCTACTTTCTTCTGTTGTGCCCATCACACACAGTGTATTAACACAAGCCACCAAGTTCCACGCGTGTTTATGTACAACAAATCTCTTGAAAAGTTTAAGGGGTCCTGACAGCATTCATAGTCTCCTCTGGTCTTTTATTGTGGAATACCACAGGGTTTTTTGTTGGTTGTATTTTTGCCTGTCATACAGAATGCATTTACAGGTTCTCTCTTGCAGGGTGGGAGGAAATCGTACCTTTAGCCTGCAAACAAATATAAATTGGCTAAAATAAGGTGTTTGTGCGGTTCTTCCAGACATAAGTTCTGTTTACACAGTTGTCTGCAGCTGCAAAGAATTATGAGTGTCTCAAACTGGGACCTCTCAATCCTGGGTTCCTTTGCTCTTGGTCTAACTGCTATCGTTGTTGGACAATAACGTATGTTATTTTTAGTTACATAAACCTCTGAAAAACTGTTACAGAGCTTAAAAATATTTCAACATATTTTAAGTATGTAACACAACCAGGAAGCGCACATATCATGGCCTTGATAAACACTCAGCAATTATTACTGACATTCCTTCAGGTTAAAAGTATGCAAGAGTTCTGGTTAGTCTGTCAGCTGTATAACATTTTTGAGTTCACCTTCAGACACTGGATAATGTTCTCCAACTATCTCTGCAGAGTACTGTACCTTCAAGGCTCCTAGTTTCCAGGATGACAATTGTACAGAGCTTTCCATAGCTGTTAGGGACTCCATCACATAAAATCAATTCATACACACTAAGTGGTAGACTGGAAGTGTTATCATCCAGCTCTTTTCTCACTCATGCTAAGTAACAGTCATTTAGCTTTAAGCACATAAATAGCATGATTTCCAAAAAACCCCTTCTAAAGCTCTTAACATAGCAACCAGTGTCTTACACCTACCCTTTCTTCACAAAGTTACTTCTAGAGATGAAGCACAGGACTGCAAATGGCATTGGGACTTAAGGTTTTAAACTTATTTGTATTGACAAACCTTTTCTCTTTTCTGTTCAGCCACACCTTTTCTAGCATAAATCAGACTGAGTTTCTCTTGGTCCTTCAAGAAACGTCTCCGCAGTCTTAGAATTTCTGCTCGTTCTTCTATACCTAGGGAACACATGATCACATCCACAGCTTTTCCTTTCTGAAGCAAACTTCAGATTTAAGGCAAGAGCATCATTTAACAAAAAACACCATCTGTGTATTTACTAGCTTACCAGCTAGTCTCCTAAGTTTCATATACAACTACTCAACACAAGGCCCTTCAACAAGACAGCAAATTGAAAGAAATGAAGTTGTTCTTAAGAGAAGAGGTAATAAGTATTTTTGTATAAAAACTTCAAGCATTGGATGAGTTATAAGGGTCAAACTGTTGTTCTGGAAAAGGCACTAGAATTCATGAACAAATTTGCCCCAAATGACAGATTTTTTTTAAGCCCAAAGGCAAGTATAGCATTTGCACCATATTCCATAAAGTATAGAGCTCCCTAGATGAAAAAAGGTGCTAAATATATTCAAAGATTGGGTAATAATAATATAGTACTATATTTTTTAAGTTACTATTACAGAACTGTCACTGGATCACCTCCTGCTCAGATCAGTCATGGAGAAAGGCCACTTTACAGACTTTTCACTTCAGTCCATTTCCTAGGAAAGAAGAGCGAGCAAACAAAACCACCACTACAACTGGTATTTTCCTGGTAGAAGACCAGGGACTGACTGAAAGGTAGACTGAACTCCCTCTTTCTGTAGTTCTGCATGGTCCATTCAAAACTGCACTGAAACACCTCTCAGGTATTGAAAAGGTCAATCTTTATAGCTCCCTGCCTGAACTCCTACTCTCATCCTTTCAGTCAAAATTTAATGACAAGGTAAGCAAGGGTGAAATGGGAAGGAAATGGGGAGAAGGAGCATAAAGCCATTCCGGAACAGTACTGATAATTTTCAGTTATTGACTAGGTGGATGAAGGAGCATTCTCAGAAAATAGCAGGGTAGTTCTAATTCCAGATTGTAATCTGTTGCAGATCGTGTCAACACAGCTGAAATAGTTTGGAAAAAATATGTGTAGAGAGATCTCTTCCTTAAAAAGATGAGCAGGTAAATTTAAAACAGAAGGGACAGAACTGTCTGACATTCATGCTACAATTGTCTTAGGGAGAGGTAGGAATGCAAAGATCACACTGGCTAGTTTCTTATCCAGTCAGTTCTTTCATCTAATAACATACAGCTTTGCAATTTCTAGCACAGTTCTATCTTTTTGTCACACATTATGTATCACCGCACATTCCTGGAAACAAAATCTCTCAAGTTGAACCTCAATTAGAATGCCAAATAACTGACAAAGATGGCCTACAAAAATGTAATATTTATATAGAAATTGCATCATAAGGCTTACAGACCTTTAGTTTTGCTGTCCACCTCATCTCCAGGCAAACTCAATCTTTTTTTCCCAAAATCTGGACCCACTGGTTTAAAGGTGGCTTGTTTAAGTTTTTCACTCCGTTTGTTAACCAACAGCATGGATGAAAACAAAGATTCAGAGGATGAAGGAAGTGCATACTCTGACAATGTGTCAATGGTACTTCCAGTTAGCCAATTAAAAGAACTTCTACCATCTGTAAAAAAAGATTGTAAAAAGGCTGTAACATATCCATATAAATCAAGTGAAAACATCTATGAAGGAGGTCATTTTCCTCTCCCAAAAATATAGTTCCCAGTGCTTATGGGCAGAACAGATTCCAACCTGTTATGTAATACGAGACTAACAAAAACGTGACTGGATATTTTTTTTCTCATACTGGAAAAAAAAAAAGCCCTCGAGAACAAAAAATTAAATGCATTTACATGTCTACATTAAAAATTCATATACAACAGAAATGAAGAGAATGAAATAATTATTATGGCAAACTAGAAGATTTCAGAAGATACTGGTCTGGACTTACTGACATGCTGTGTAGGTGTAAATTCATATTGCCGTTGGGTAGCCCTCACTCGACGACCAACTGACCCAGAAGCAGAAAGAGATTTTTCTTGTGATAAATTTCTGTGAATATTCTGAGAAGCTTGAGTCTCCAAAAACATCGGTGTGAGCACAGTACTTCGATAACGCCAGCTGGAATCAATTACAAAGTCCTAGGAACACAAAAAGATTTTAAAAAGAACAATAAGAATGGAGGCTTTTGCTTTGCTTCCTTGAGATACGATAGCAAAAATTAAAGTACAGTATTTAAAACATCATCCCACGTGCAGGGGCAGAACTTGGCTATAAAAAAAACCCTCAAACACACAGAAGTTCTCCATATCTCAGCAAAAAAACCTCACTAATTTGGACTGGTTAGCTGCTGAGGACTGATTTACAGCTCTTGTACTAGTATTCCTGTTTCTTCACAATTTTTCTCTAAGTTATGGTACTTCCCTCCACTACCCTATTTTTTGGGTATTTCAGCACTCTACACATCAGCTATATTTGGTATATATAATTACTTTAACTAAATCTTTCTTTTTTGAAAAGAAAGCAAAGTTATTGCTCCCACAAAAGCATCAAACTTCTGATACTGTGCATAACCCATGACTGTTGCAGCTCTTAACTATGGGGTACAAAACACACTTTCAAAAATCTCCTTCACTATGCCATTCTTGTCCAAGTGGTAACTACATTAAGGAATGGAATCTGTCACATGGTTGCACACAGGATAACACATTGCAATTCACCTGAAATTTGCATTCAGACAGTGGATGCTCAAATATTTTTCTGGAATAATCCGGGCTCTTGCTGGTCATTTCAAGCAGAAAATTCGTGATTAGACTCAAGTACTGTGTTTCAATCTTGGCAGAATATAAAGAATTTAACAATGACAGCATGCGATCAAGAATATTTGTGGGTAACCTTGTCTCATCACTCCAAAAATTCCTAACGATTAACCTGTAAAGGCAAGGAATAAAGTTATTCTTGGTTATCTGCAAACAGAAAACACAACGGTATCAAAAAAGCCAAACTAAAAAAACCAACCACCACCACAATAAGATTGTAAAGCCTTCAGTTAACCCCTTCATGCAATGGATCTTCCACGGAGTTACACCAAATTCCTCATTCATCTATCATGCTCTATGACATTTGGCTGTTATTAAAAGTTTACTCTGAGAAAATTAATTCTATTGAGGTGTTTTCCTCTTGAGAAGTGCTAGGAGTGGAAACGCACAGAGATGTCCTATTCTATCTTTTGCTTCAACAAAAACATTAAAAAAAATCCAACAGCCTCCAATATTTAATCTGGTTTTGTGTGTTTCTGTATAGCAAGGTCCTTCTTACTCAAAAACTCTTTAACATTAATGCAGAATTAGGTCTAACACACTGAATCAACTTCTCCATGGTTTAGAAGCTTGTTTAAGAGCTCTGTGCTTCACTTAAATTTAGTGTAACACTACAGGACACAATTTTCTAAGTTAACTTATTAGAAGAAAAGGAAATAATGTTATCTTACTGTTACTCTTTTATATTAAAACACTTAAATAAAAACCTCTAAGGAGGTTTCTGCTTCTGGATCACTCAGTTGTCAAGTGTAACTCTTCTGTTACAAACAAAGAGCAATTTTGGGATTTGTTACTACAGACAACCATCACAACACTGTTTACTCACTGCAGTTCAGCATTCTCATCAATTAGTCCTTGAAGCAACATTTCTTTTGCCAGTTTGAGTATTTCCTGAGAATCACCATCTGCTTGGCTTTCTGGATCACTGATGGATAGGAGAAAAATGTCCCTTAATGAATTCTCTCAAACAATCCATAGTAAAATAAGAGGTTGAGGATGGTGGGAGAAAAGGAGAAACATGCCCTTCTCGTAAAAATCTCAACTTGGTATGACAACACCACATTTTTTTCATAATACGAGGTTTTCATTGCCAAAAATATCTTGTCTCTTCATTACTTAGAAAATAAAAAAAATCAGAAAGCTAAGTAATATACGTTAGGTATTTATTATAAAGGGCAAACAGAAGTAATTCTGAGTTTGCAAGGTTAAAACTGAGAAAAGGGCAGAGAATTAGCTTTTCTTAAGTAACACTGCAGTAAAAATGGCCTGTGCTTTTTCTTCACAATAATTATCCATTCAAATAATTAAGTTACCTTGGGAAAAAAGCATATACTAGAACCCAACTAAGTCAGATGATTCAACAGCAACCCACTTGTCAAAATGAGTTCATGTCTGTTCCTTACTTTAAGGGGTCGAACAGAAAGAACATCTTTATACAACCAAGTTGAAGGGATCCAGATCATGCCAAAGTGCCTCAATACACCTTCTACCTACAAGCAAATTTCTCTAGTGTACAATTCTTGCTAGTTACAAATTCCAACAACAAGAAAAAAGTGGGAGCATCACAGCTAAGACTTCTTATGCTGCAGTTATGCAACATCCTAGTTCTGGGCTAAAATTTAGTCTTTGTTCCTTAGTGGAAGTGATAAAATTGCCACCAAAGGCTAGAGCTTAGGCAAACCACAGGCTCTATTCTTGGGAGAACTGGAAAAATCCTGCACCAAGGGACATGAAATCGGAAGACAGGGATACAAGCACTTTTACTCTGCCTGTGACAAATCTCTGAAAGACAACAACTGCTGTGAATACCCACCTGTAATTATCATAAATCCACATCAGAATATCATACATGCGCTGTCGACATATCCCAGAAGGGTGAGAAATGAACCCTGTCACTCCAGGAAGAAGTTCTTTAAGTTCTAGAGGTTTTAGTTTAGATAGCATCTTGTAGACTATATCCAAACAAACCCTTTGCCTTTCATCATCCCTAAAAAGAGAGGGGAAAAAAATTATAGTTACATTGCTTTTCTCTTCACTGCTACACAAGAATCAGAAGATCAGTTTAGGTTTTGGCAATAACATATGTTTTTGCATGGACAGCTTTAGAGAAATACTTCTGAGTTCAACCTAAGTGTAAGAATATAAGCTACTACATACTACAGACATTCACATCCCAGTGGTGTTTCAACTTAATGCTATTTAGGGCTTTTTGTTTGTTTTAAATAGTGAGCTAACCATCTTAATACTTAACTCCCAGATTCCACTAGCTCAAATTAGGAGAGCAGTGACCAAAAAATGAACACAAATTATAAATGCTTCTGAATGTAAAAATGTCATGGCCAGCACAGAAAATGTTATCAAGAAGTTTAGACTATGCATCCACTTTTGTAATCACATAACAACTCACCTGTGATTCATGATCTGGATAAAGTCTTTACCCTTCAACTGCAAGTGAAGATCAGGTATTTCTTCTGCCCGGCACATTATTACTTCCAGACAGTAGGTTTTCATCACACCATGAAGTTTGGGTATCAGAAAGAATACTGCGTTCATAAACCTTAACATAACCAGAAGCACACACAGAAAAGCAAATTATTTTCTATTATTGCTCTACATTTACAATGAACATACCATGAAAATCATGACATACCTGTCAGCAAGAGGTGGAAAATTCTTAACAATCTTATTCAGGCATTGAATAAACTTATCCTGTTGGGTGTTCTGATGATGTTTTAATTGTCTTATGACACAATCATAAACTGGATCTTCAAATACCTGAAAGTGAGAAAGACAGTAAGACAAGCATAGCCATGAAACTCACAACCGCCTTAATGACTAGTTCTGCTGCTGTACTGTTTGATTCTAGGGCATTTTGCTGGGTAAGATCCACCCACCTCATCTTGACCTCTATAGTGCTTCATGGCTGCTGTACAGCTATGCCTGGCTGAAACGCTATTGCCTGCTTAAACAACACACTTGTGAGCTTCCTTTGATTGGTTTGGAACCAACACCTTAATTTTGAAATACAAGTTGCTTAGTATGCTTACATAAATAATAAGTAGCTTCTCATATGGTACGTCAGATTTCCATTTTGTTAATGTAAAAAAATTTTTAGTGAAAAAGGGAAAAATAATCAGCACCCTTCTCTCAATGTCAAAGAAATGAGCTTTGTATACAATAAATTATTTGCACCACCTTTGCTCATTTATTCAAACTACTGCTTATAATGGAACTTGGAAGACTCTGAAAGAGAAGACTGCAAGAATTCAATTTACGAAATATTGCTCTACAAACTGTGAAAGAACAACCATAACACAATTAAAGTGGGAAAGAAAAGTAAGAACAGTAGGAAGAAAAATAAGAACAACCTACAAGATCAGACTAATAATCCACCTATCCAGTATCTTTGTATTTTTGTCTCCAATAGCAAGTGCAGTACAATATTTAGGGGGAGCACATGAGCCTGGTCCTCATTTTCTCTCATGCAGCCCAACATGCACTATGTCATTAGATTAGGGATCTTAGAGTGTACCTTGTTCTCTATTGTTTTTAGAACCTGTTCATTAATTTTTCTGTGCATGAATTTGCCCAATTTCTCTTTGAAGCTGCTGATGCTACTTAACCCTAGAGCCTCTTCTGGCAACAAATTCTGGAAGTTTACCAACAGTTGCATGAAGTACTTCTAGCATCTGTCTCAAACATATTTCTGTGATCATCAAGCACTATTCCCTAGTTCTAGTACTGTAGGATTTGGTGAATAACAGTTTTGCATTCACCCTATCCACCAGCCAGAAAATAACTGGATTCAAAATTAAATACAATACCTTTAAATTTTATATCAAAACTTAGCTATTAAACATCCTCAGATATACATACTCAAAAGGTAGCCCCAAACCTCCCAACTTGCATTTTTTTTCTTTTTTCTTAACAAAAAACCAAACCAAACTTTAAAGTACCATACCAGTGTTGCTTGTTGGCAAAAGCTGAATAATGCCTCAGAGAGAGACCAGACCTCAGGAAGACCCAGTGAATTAGAGATCAGTTAGTCTCACCTCTGTGACCAGCAAAATCATGGAGCAGATCCTTCTTGAAACTATGCTAAGGTATATGGAAAACAAGGAGGTGATTGGTGACAGCCAGCACAGCTTCATTAAGGGCAAATCATGCCTGACAAATCTGGTGGCCTTCTATGACAGGGTTACAGCGTTGGTGGATAAGGGAAGAGCAACTGACATCATCTACCTGGACTTGTGCAAAGCATTTCATGCTGTCCTGCATTACATCCTTATCTCTAAATCGGAGAGACATGGATTTGACAGAATGACCACTCATGACCAAGAAATTGCCTGGATTGTTGCACTCAAAGAGTTGTGGTCAATGGCTCAATGTCTGAGTGATGTTCTGCAGGGGTCGGTATTATTTAACACCTTTGTCAGAGACATGGATAGCGGGATTGAGTGCACCCTCAGAAAGTTTGCTGACAACACCAAGCTGTGTGGTGTGGTGGACACGCTGGAGGGAAGGGATGCCATCGAGAGGGACCTGCACAGGCTTGAGAGGTGGGCCAATGCAAACCTCAAGAAGTTCAACAAGGCCAAGTTCAAGGTCCTGCACATGGGTCAAGGCAATCCCAAGCACAAATACAGGCTGGGGGGAGATGGATAGAGAGCAGCTCTGAGGAGAAGGACTTGGGGGTGTTGGTTGATGAAAAGCTCAACGTGACCCAGCAATGTGCACTTTCAGCCCAGAAAACGAACCATGTCCTGGGCTGCATCAAAAGAAGTGTGACCAGCAGGTCGAAGGAGGTGATCCTTCCCCTCTTCTCTGCTCTTGTGAGACCCCACCTGGAGGACTGCATCCAGCTATGGGGCCCCCAACATAAGAAGGACATGGACCTGTTGGAGTGAGTTCAGAGGAGGGCCACAAAGATGATCAGAGGGCTGGAGCACTGTCCTCCCCTCTGAGGGCAGGCTGAGAGTTGTTCAGCCTGGAGAAGACAAGGCGCCGGGGAGACCTGTACCTAAAGGGGACCTACAGGAGAGATGGGGAGGCACTCTATCAGGAAGTGGAGTGATAGGATGAGGGGTAATGGATTTAAGCTGAAAGAGGGTAGAATTAGATTAGATATTAGCAAGAAATTTTTCACTGTGAGGGTGGCAAGGCACTGGCCCAGGTTGCCCAGGGAAGTTGTGGATGCCCCATCCCTGGAGGTGTTCAAGGCCAGGCTGGATGAGGCTTTGAGCAACCTGGGCTGGTGGGAGGTGTCCCTGCCCATAGCAGGGGGGTTGGAACTCGATGATCTTTAAGGTCCCTTCCAACCCAAACCATTCTATGTCTAACCATCACTGTCAGCTCCAAAACACCAGGGCAAAAACTCTGCACTTAATCTGCTCTCAAATTCTTTTGCTCGAGTTAATAGTTTAGAACTTTATCTCAATCTGTTAGACAGAGATTGTTGAGATTCAGATGCATTGATTTTTGGAGATCAATTGAGTAGTCATATAAAAGATATACATAGAATTAAGACAGGAATGGTCAAACACACAGTACCATTCACTTACATTTTCTCTCTCAGCAACGTATCCAAGAGCAAGTCCCAACACTTCTGCTGCAGCCGCATAAACTTCTTTATACTTTAATAAGCCCATGTTGCTGATCAAAGCCTGAAAATATCTAACACAAAAGGTAGACTTGCTGTAAGCCATGACTTCAGCATCTAATTTTAAACTGAAACAGAAAACTCACCTGAGCTCCCTAGGGGAACAGTAACTGCTTTTAGAAGAGCTGAATACAGCACAGCATGTATTTCCAGCTTCAGTGTCTCAAATCCCTGCTTTGGCAATTCCTGACACTTAATTTCCATGAAACTGCAACCCTGAGGCCCACTGTAAAAAGGCTTACATCCTTCTAGATATTTTCCAAAATAAATGTTTATCTAAATTTGCAGCTAGAAAAGCATTACCTCTGACAGACAATAGCAAAAGGCTGATAGGACAAATTATTCCAATAAACGAGCAATCTGGCTCCCATACTTTACACTGACAAGTTAGACTTGCTCTCTTTTTCTTAAGCTTTTACCAAAATAATTCTCCAAAAAGCTGCATTTCTCACCTGACACGATCTATTTCACACTTCGGGTCAAAGGGAGGTAAATTGTTAGCAAGAACAATTCCCAGCAGTTGAATTCCCACTGAGTTGTCCTTTGTATCAGGATCTCCACTAGAAAACTTTTCAAATATTAAACTGTTGGATAAAAACATAAACATAATGATATACATGAAAACCCCAAAATATACATATCATAAATCACTCACTGTGTATATACATATATATACATATACATACATAAAACCCCACGAAAACTACCAGAAAGTATGTATATATGCACATACACTCCCACCAAAACCAGCAAAAAGCATGTATTCAGAAACAAGTATTTAGCTTTAATAAAGAAGTCTTTGCAAGAAAAAAAAATTATCTAAAAAGAGATTGTAAGCCCACACAAATTCTCTGCAAAACGTTCAGGAGCACAGCAGATTTCAGAAGTCCTACTAAGAGTGCACCAATATTCCATGATAATGTCCAAAACTTCAAATAAAATCTAAGTCTTTGCAGAGATGACTCCTGCTTTTGTTGTTGCTGTTGTAATCCTCTACATATTTGCCCCATCTCTCTCCTTGTCGTTTTGCAAATTAAGTTACAATCTTTGGAGAGTTCAGTTATGAAGTTCTACTGTCAGCTCTAGGGACAGAAAGTTTACTATTGCAGCTGAATTTAAGTTTTCATCTACTTTGATAATGTTAACTTATATTCTTGAATTATTGATAAAAGAAAGCAATTGTCTAAATGCTTACCTGTAAGGTATGGCAAGACAGTTCTTCCAACACTCTATAACTGTCTTTATGATTTCCAGATTGTGTTTGAACACAGCTCGTTTTTGGTGAAAGGCATTCTTCATCAAGAATTCAAGCAATCTGTTAGCTAAAATCTCATCCTTAATATTCCCCTACAGTGAACAGGAGCAAAACCAAACATAGTGACTCCAACGCAAGGGCATACATTGTTTTATGAAAGCAAGCAAGTAAACAAGCTATTTTTGAAGTTAATATCTAAAAGAAACAGTGATGTAGAAAATAATTGTAATTGCATAATAACAAACTCACTTATTCTTTACCAAATAGTCACAATAATAATAAAAATGAATTTCACATTTCCTTACTTTGGGAGTGGTTACACTTGTCCAGGAAAGGATAGTAACTACTATTTCCACTACCATGTAATGAATCCCTTCACCTCCATTGTTCCCAGAAACAACAAGCTGCAGCAATGGACCAAGCCACTGCTTTGCATAAGGTCGGAAAACCTATGGAAAAACAGGAGAATCAGTGATCAAGTACGAATTACACAACTATTCAATAACCTATTGTTCAATAATCATTACAGCTAGAATTGCTAAATCAACCTCCTATCACTTTGCTTAACCGCTGAAGCAATAACCACAAAAATTTTAAGATAATGTTAAAATAGCAAGTATCCATAACTATATTCCTCACTTCTGCTTAGAAACCTTTAACCAAGTGTTCACATAAAATTATTTCACTAGGGTCAACATAATACGGCTCTCACACAGAAAACCTGCCCCTTAAGGGTTTGAAAGAATGTTATTCATCTACCCTTCCATTTCAGACAGCTTTACTAAGAAAGCAGCATTAAGTGGGTGTTAAAGCTTCTTGAATTAATTCTGAAATTCACCCTTTTTGTATTTTGGATTTGGAATATTTCAGACAGAAACACTGTACTTTAAAATCACTGCACGGAAGAGGATGAGAATTTTTTACCCAATAATGAGAATTAGAAAAAGTTCCTTCTCAGGCAAAGACACATTTTGCTATCTTAATATCTTTCTGCAACCAGAATATCATTTAGCTCTAAGGCTTTCCATAAAACTCATCTGTGACCATTAAAAAAACCATTATATTTGCTCCTTCAACGATCGCAAACATAACCAGCCATACCTCTTGCCCAGTGTCAATGAATCAATTACTTCATAGTTTACAGAAGACACATATTGTAGACACCCTCTATTTATAGAAGTAGAGTTTGGGAGAAAAAGTATTTATATTACATTCAAAATACTGGCATTATCTGGAATTTTGGGCTATGAATGTAATCTCTTTTATCACAACAAACTACTCAATTTGAATACTCCAAAAGTCTCAGCTGATGAAATATTTTACCTCACAAGAAGAGTTACACAGTTGACATTATAATACAACCCGTTATGTCAACAGAAAATATATGACAAAAAAATTACTCACATCCTCAGTATTAACAATTAGTTTTGCTATGAAGAGGCGAATATTTAGCGGTACTGATGGGTTTCCTAATTTGCCATGCAGAAATTTCATCCAAAGAGGAAGATCTACCGGAACCGTCCCCTGAAATTAGAAAAGATGAGCAAAAATCAGCTCACTTCCTGGACCAAACAGGCTTACCAAGCCAAAAAGACCCCAGCTTGAGCCACACAGGTCTCATTATATTACAGCCATGAAAACTCATTCATGACTCCCTTTACTTAGTACAGTTAGTGAAAAAATGCCAACTTTTTGGTTAATACTGGCCTCCTCCACTTTGGGTGTGATCTGGTTCCTCTGCATATGTTTAATCAGAGTGGTCATAGAAGCCATACATTCATGTTGGTTGAGTTCATCCATTTCCAGTTCCATCTCATCATTTAAAGGCATGTATTCTGTGGGCTCCTGAAAAAAGAAAGTGTTATCATGATGAATAATAACACTGTATTTTCTTTTAAATCATGATAATGCTGTGAGTCATTCTGATCTTATCTGTGTTTACAGATTTGACTATACACTCAGTGTGCCCAACAGGGAATACACCAAAGGTGTTGTTCAAACAGACACCTCCCAAATATACATATATACACACCAGCTGTGCACATCTTTTACTTTCTATGTCAACAGACGTCAACTTCATGCTACTCTGTCTCTACTGTCTGCAAGGATAGGTGTGGCAACCGGTGGAAGCAGGAAAAGTTAGCTGAACCTCATAGAAACTATATAATTTCATAGCTGAAAGAATGTGTGGAAAAGGGGGGGAAAAGCCCTATTTTTACGGATGTGTTGTTTCGCAATGACTAGAAACCACTGCAGCTCTCTCTTTTGCTACATAGGGTAAATCACAAAATAAAATTGTTTATAGTTAGACATTACAATACTACACAAATCAGATAGAAAGTACATTTCTGGTTAACATTTCTGATACCTTTCTGCAGCGAAAACACTTCCTTGCTCCAAAACATGGAAACAGTTTATCTTTACCAATGTTAACAGTTATTTTGACAGATTTCATCTCCACTGTCTACAATACTTTTGCAAGCTTCCTTCTGTTTTATAACAAAAATCTATCCTATCAGTGTTACAGTTGATGAGGCATCACTTGACTGCAGAAGGAACACAACTTCAAGTCTTGAAAGATATTACTGTTCTTCCAAGAGCAACAGTTAAACACAAGGTGCCACAACAGAGGTACAAAAATAATAAAGGGTTTGATCATTTATTCCATACATCTGATATAACCAGCTTGGTCAAGTGCCTTCAAAGACCAAAAGAAGAGGGAAATAAGGAAACCAGGTGCCTAACAGCAAAACACAACCATTGCAGGATACTCCAGAGTGCAGACAAAGTCACAAGCCACCTTTTTACACTCAGGCTGGACTTCACTCACATTACTCAACTTTAGAAACCCAAGGTAGTGCTCTACTTGCTTTTCTCCAGCTGTAGACAGAGGAGGGAGGAAAGAAGAAAAATGACCAACACAATACAGCTCAAGTCCCCCTCCCTCATCTTATGGAGGAACCCAGCCTCAGCCAAGTAGAACAAATAAAGGAGACTAGAAACTTCTCTTTCTCTACCCCTATAAACTTATGCAATTGCTAGAAAGCATAAAACTTTTCTTCCTCACAGCACTTAAGTCACTAAATTACCTTTCTCCTGAAACGAGCGCTGCTAGATGTAACATCTTGGGAGCCATAAGAAAAAGCTTGGACTCCAGTAGAAAAATCAAACTGACTCATTTCTTCACTCAGACTGCTATCCATCATATATGATGCAGAAGCTAAATACTTGGGTTCATCTAAATGGGAAAAAGAATAGACCATTAATCAAGGTAATTACAAGAAGCAAGCCTTCATTGGCCACTAAAACTTGAAGGTGGGTGGGAATTGGTTGTTAGATGAAGTACGTGGAAAGCTTTTATGTGTTACTGCTATTGTAGAAGCCAATTAGCAACACATCAATAAACACTGTATGAAAGGTAAGAAGGCATTTTTTTCAGCCATAAATGGCTTTCATACCCTGATCGCTATTCCCTGCATCCCTGGCCTCCTTTCTTATAGCAATGTACCGCTTCTTCCTTTCCAGAGGCACCTAAAGAGCAAGAAATAAAGACTGAAAATTAATTATTTTTTATTTACAGTCTATTGACAATTATTCGTTTACAGAACTGACAAAAATGATGAAAACCATTTAACATGAATGGAAAACCCATGCTGTAAATTATTAATGCTACAGAACAACAGTTCAATTACTTATTCCTACAGCCATTCATTACCAGAGTAAGATTGCTAAAAAGTATAAAGTTATGTGCACTGCAGGTGTGTTCTAATTTCAAGTCTGAATTTCTCTCAGAAAAATGTATTTTAAGACAATAGAGGAGTAGTCATTTTTTATTCCCTATGGAATCCTTTTCCTCTGTATGTGAGAATTGACCTCGTCTACAGTGACAACACTGTTAAAGCCACACTCATTTTTTACTTAGAATACTGAAGCCCAGAAATTCCACTCACCTCAATTTCCACAGGAAATGTATACTGACGCTTCAGGTCTATCAAATTTTCAAAAATCAGCAAGTTCTGCAAACCAAAGCATGTTTGGAAATATCAAAGTTATAATGCTGCATACAATAACAATTGCTCCGAACATATTTTTTTTTCTTCTTAAAAAAACAACAGATCAACACAAAAAAATAGAAAATATGACATGTTTTCTCTTCTAGATCAATACTTAGGAAAATTTTGCTACTCAGCTACTCAAGAATTCACAGCACAGACAATGTGTTCTGTAAAGAGAGTATCTCTTATTTAAAGTATATTCCAAGCACAGGAGAATCTAAGCAATAGCTCTTTTCCCTCTCATATTTTAGAAAACTGATTGAGAGTGGAGGGAAAACAGGGTAAATGTATCACTACTTCACCCATTCCCAAACATATGGTAAAACCTTCATCAGTAATTCAACTGCATGAAGGATGCAAGAAAGTCAGATATGACTCCTTCTATTGTCTCATGAGGTAGCTTGTTAATGTAATCGTATGTCATTCAGGTTTGATTCTTTAATTTATTGCAATCAAGCAAAATCACTTTGTGTCTTATGCTCAGGAAACCTTCTCACAGCAACAACAGTTTCTCACCTTTTCTGATTTTTCTGTAAAAAGAAAGCCTTGATAAAATTTACTTTCAGTGAAGACACAACTGATAACAGCAATAGCACAATTATATGCTGCACAGTGATACTGTCTCCTCTTCTCCAACAGCTGACTCTCTCCTGCCATGTTTTCTGTAAATGCATCATAGCACGACCTTAAAATAAAACAGGCAAGAACACACCATCAGAAGTTTTGTTTTTTAAGAAGCACAGGAAAGGCCCCAGAGACCAGTGAATCAAAAGAATTTCAGGAGATCTTTATTATTATAGCAGTATTGGCATTAAACCACCTCAGACATGTTCAGGTTCTCTGCAGGTATATTGTGTTGAAATGGAACCATTCAGCAATGACAAAGCCAACTTCACCAAGTATTTACACAGTGGTCCTTAATGTCAGGGATACAAGAGAAGGCCATTTTCAGATAAGATGGAGATATGTTTCAATCCATGCACAAATCTCTGATGGTCCTTTCCCAAGAAATTATGAATGGATAAGCATGCTAAGCTATGCTATAGATTAGCCAGAGAAAACCATTTTAGACACAATTTTTACACGTCTTTTGCCCAGAGCCATTTCTAGATCTTCTGCAAATCATAGACAAGAAATTCTTTAACGTCCTCACAGGACATAGTATTGTAAAACGAAATTAAAACAAAACAAGAAAATGAACAGCAATTCAAACATTTTTTCAAACTAATAAACAAAGTAATATTAATTAGCGTATCTATTCAGTATTAATCTTTTGTGCCGCTCTGCAGTGGCGATTAAACCAAATTACACCTACTGGTTGTGCTGCAATATTAGGAAATGTAAATGAAAATCCATCCACCTTCTCATCAATCAGATAAATATCTATCTTACAACACAGAACCATACTCTACATAAATGCATAAGTATACTGAAACTGAAATAGTGAAAACACAAATTAAAGGCCAAGAATCACATCGAAAAGCAAAAATAAAAGCACAAGCTTAACAAATTGAAATAAAAAGGCAAAAACAGGAAGCAAAAGCTATCCTGACATAGGATTGTAGTCTACATCAGAGACCATTCTATCAACACAAACTCAATATTGTGTATTCCTTAAAATCTAAAGCTACAGCACAGACTACATTTATCCTTAAGCAAAATCAATCTTTACATGGCATACTTAAAAAAGCGTACTTGCACAAAACCTAATTAGAAATTAAAAGAAAATAAGAGAAATAATAGTCTTACTTTATTAGCGTCTTGGTAAGTTCATTTCCTTCTACACTCATAGAGCCACGGTAAGCTTGGTTAATTTTAGAGTCCTTGGAGTAAACATCCTCTTTTGAAAGACGCACATACATCACTTCTAGCAGCTTGTAATACCCCATTTTCTTGGTGACTTGTGTATCAAAAGTATATTCATTGGACTGCAAAAAAATAAGCAAAACCTCAGGAACACATTTCCTGGATCCTGCCCTTCCTAGGTGGCTCCACATTTACTCTAGTTTCTACTAAACAGCCTTCAGCTTACCTCTGCCTTCCAAAACAGAGAAAAGAGCTGATGATAGTAAAAGAGTTTTTCTGAGTTCCTGCATAATACAGTTACTAAAACTATTTTTGACCTGCTCTTTGTCAGGTAAACTGTCTTAACTACAATTGGCCTAAATCATTATAGTGATATTGGAGTAAAATAAGCAGAATAACAATGGCTCAGACTCATGACACCTGTAAGCAAGATATACATACCTGTCACCACAGAATCATAGATTCGTTCAGGTTGGAAAAGACCTTTAAGACCATCAAGTCCAACCATTAACCTAACACTGCCAAATCCATCACTAAACCATGTCCCTAAGTACATCTACATGTCTTTTAAATACCACCAGGGATGGTGACTCCACTACTTCCCTGAGCAGCCTGTTGCAGGGCTTGAAAACCCTTCTGGTGAAGAAATTTTTTGTAATATGCAACCTAAGCCTCCTCAGCACAACTCTAGGCCATTTCCTCTTGTTCTACTGCTTGTTACTTGGGAGAAGAGATTGACACCCACGTCACTACAACCTCCCTTCAGGTGGCACTAGAGAGGGATAAGGTCTCCCCTCAGCCTCCTTTTCTCCAGGCTAAACAACCCCAGTTCCCTCAGCTGCTGCTCCTCATCAGACCTGTGCTCCAGACCCTTCACCAGCTTCGTTGCCCTTCTCTGGGCCTGCTCCAGCACCTCAACATCTTTCTTGTGGTGAGAGGCCAAAAACAGCACACAGTGTTCAAGGTGCGGCCTCACCAGTGCCGAGTCCAGGGGCACAATCACTTCCCTAGTCCTGCTGGCCACACTGTTTCTGATACAGGCCAGGATGCCGTTGGCCTTCTTGGCCACCTGTGCATACTGCTGTCGACCAACACCCCTAGGTCCTTTTCTGCTAGGCAGCTTTCCAGCCACTCTTCCCCAAGCCTGCAGCGTTGCAGGGGGTTGTCGGGATCCAAGTGCAGGACCCGGCCCTGAGCCTTGTTGAACCTCACACAACTGGCCTCAGCCCATTGACCCAGCCTGTCCAGATCCCTCTGTAGAGACTTCCTACCCTCAAGCAGATCAATACTCCCACCCAACTTGCTGTTGTCCACAAACTTAATGAGGGTCCACTGGATGTCCTCATCCAAACCGGCCCCAATACTGAGCCCTGGGGAACACCACCTATGACCAGCTGCCAACTGGATTTAACTTCATTCATCACAACTCTTCAGACCCAGCCATCCAGCCAGTTTTTCACCCAGCAAAGAGTATGCCTGTCCAAGCCCTGCGCAGCCAGTTTCTCCAAGAGAATGCTGTGAGAAACTGTGTCAAAAGGCTTTATTAAAATCTAGGCAGACAACATCCACAGCCTTTCCCTGATCCCCTAAGTGGGTCACCTTGTCAGAGAAGGAGATCAGGTCAGTCAAGCAGGACCTGCCTTTCATAAACCCACACTGAATGGGCCTGATCATGTGGTTGTCATGTATGTGCTGTGGGATGTCATGCACAATGATCTGCTCCATAACCTTCCCTGGCACCAAGGTCAGACTGACAGGCCTGTAGTTCCCTGGATCCTCCTTCTAGCCCTTCCTGTAGATGCACATCACGTTTGCTAACCTGCAGTCAAATGGGACCTCCTTGGTTAGCTAGGACTGCTGATAAACGATAGAAAGTGACTTGGTGAGCACCTCTGCCATCTCCCTCAGTAATCCTGGGTGGATCCCATCCGGCCCCATAGAATCATGTGTAAGTGGTGTAGCAGGTCGCTGACCATTTCCTCTTGGATTATGGGGGCTTCATTCTGTTCCCTGTCCCTGTCTTCCAGCTCAGGGGGCTGGGTAACTAGAGAACAACTGGTCTTACTATTAACGACTGAGGCAAAGATGACATTAAGTACCTCAGCTTTTTCCTCATCCATTGTCACTATGTTTCCCCCTGCACTGAATAAAGGATGGAGGTTCTTCTTAGCCCTCCTCCTGTTGCTAATGAATTTAAAGAAACATAGTGAGTATCACTCATGAGCTTCTTTATGCACCTCAGTTTGGTGCCAACATTTACAGCAACAGAATGGTGGTGGAGGTGACTCTACGTAAGTCTGGGTTTTAGCATTTTGTTTTTAATAAGTATTACTAAATATGAATCATTTCAGCATCTTGTTTGTCCTGCTGCCTTTAAACAGCTGCATCAGAAAAACCATGGGAGCAAAGAGACCTCCACTGACATAATTGCCTATAACTATACTCTAAATTGGAGGATAGGCTGTAAATAGAGAAAGGATGATTTGTGCTCCTAATCCCTTACTAAAAGATTATTGCAATGATTATAAGATGTGTTTCTTTCTCTAGAAGTAAGGCACCTAATTTAAGAGCTTTCTTTATGGAGGTTGAAATCCTCTCTCTTACAACATAGTAATAGCCTACAATTTTATACAGCTTTTATATTTCAAAGTTACAATGGGTTTTTGCTTTTGACAGAACTTCAGACCCCTTTAAATATATAGACATAACATTCCAACTTCAATTTTTATACACAGTAGATATAAAAATACACATTCACTTCAAAGCAACAGTGTATTGGGAACAAAGAAAAGTTTCTTGCTAATAACCAAACTATGTAATTGGCACAAACTTCTGCTCCAAGATACAGAAAACTGGAAAGCAAATGGTTTCAATTAGTGTCTCACTCAAACAAAATGTACATTCCAACACCAACATTTTATTAGCCCTTACTCAATCTTTAAAAAAAAAAAAAATTCACACCTTTGTAAACCTGGAATTAAGTGCATCCATAGCCTGTACTATAATCTTGACAAAGAATTCTCTCAGTGCATCCAAGCTGCAGTGCCACAGAAGAGTGAGGAGGGAGCGATCCATAAATGCTTGACGGGTAGTATTTGAAAGGTCTTCACTCTGGAACATTTTGTGAACAGTGTCCAACAGTATCACTTGTTTGTCCGTGGTGCTCCTAAACAAGATGGAAATCTCAATATTAAAACTCTTTTACAGACTCCATTTATGTTCCAAACCTCTCTGACATTTAGAATTTTTATTGTCTGCATTCACACCCTCCAGGGTTATCATCCTATACAACATGCAAGATCAGTTTGATTCACCACTTATTGTGGAGCTCTCCAAAGAAAACTGCAGCTTCGTACTCTTCAACAGATGGTAAACTTGTTTGTATATCTTTGTTAGCCTAACCCAAAAGTAATCATTAGCCTTCTCAGTCTTTTTTTCACTGAACAACCTAAAAAATATTGATATGGTATACATGAAGGTTGGGGGCAAAGAAAGAAAAAAGGAGACTTCACTATTATCAGGTTCTTCTGTGGCCCATCAAGTGTTCCAGTACTAGATGAACTGTTGTTCTGAATAATTTTATAAAAACTTCAAAAATGGGATTTGGGCCTAAGGTAAATGACTTTGTCCAGGAAACTACAAGCTCAAATAGTCACTACTTAATATCTCATCATGAATTGGAATGTTTGGTTTTGAAATAGACTGAAGACCTCTTCTGTGGACAGAGCATGTTTGTGTCTACACTTTACCACTCTGGAAACTTTCAATTAAATAAATGTGCTGCTGTATTTTCAAAGCACTTGAACAAAGCAATCCACTGTCTAAGTGCTATCTACGTAAGTGATCATGTGGGTATACAGGGACAGCAAATATAAGTATCACACACAATTACTATCTTCAACTGAATTCTGGCAGAACAAGATAATTAACACAAGGTTTTACAAAATTTGCCCAGGCATTGGAAGTGTCATCTGGAAGTTGGTGCAACTTGTTCATCCTTCAGGACTATTTTGGAAATGTGAAGACAAAAGCAAAATCTGAATTAAAAAATATTATGTAAAAGCTTACAATGTAAACCATCACTATTACAAGGATGACGTAATAGAGGAAGCACATTTGCTTCAGCAAAAATTGAATGAGAAGAAGAGCAAAATCCAATAGACCAATCTCACCTTCTGGAAATTTTTTTGAAACTGGCTTGAAATAAGTCCTCCATGAAATGTCTGTGGTCCCTACAGAGGACTTCTGTCATCAACTGCAACAGCATTGGGCTCTGAGACAATTCCAGTGCATCTAAAAACTGAGAAAGTAGCAATGTATAAAATAAGGAGCCACACTGGATCAACTCAATTCCATCTAATTATGTATTTCTTTTTCAATACTTATCAGAAGCAGATGCACAGAAGGATGTTTATTTAATGTGTATCTGTACATTAAACTTCTAGATAAAAACATAACTTAGAAACAGAAAAGCTAATTTCCTTATGTGAGCAGTCTCTCTTTAATTCCAGATTCTGTGAAAGATTGTTTCTAGACAGAAATCAGACGATTAGGCTTCTAACTACACAGCTGTTAAAAATACTGACCTTCTTGGTGCAGTCTACATAGTTATTGTGCCTCAAGGTTCCTTTGGGAAACTCATCTGACCTCATGGGAAAATTGAAAGCAACAAGTTGATCAAGAGCATTCTTAAGGTCATTAAGTTTTTCTCCAGTCAAATTAGTGAAGAACGGAAGTATTATCACTGCTTGGCCCTGAAGAAAACAAATGCAGTTTCACATTAATAAAAATTATCCTCTAACTATGCAGCAAGATTAATAGGACTATGAAATAACCAGCCTGGATGGGCTTAGTGATTCAATGGCTCAGTGTGCTGACAAAGACACATTAAGTAGCTGTTCATCTTTAAAGTGCTAGTTCAGAAAACACCTTTGGACACTGCTGAGTGGGAGTTAAAAGAAAATTAATATCTCATGCCTGACATGGCTATCAGTAAGACCTTACTGGTCTTTTAAGTAAGTATCCATTATCATACAAGTCTCTGATTTCATGCTCCACCTGGCAGATAAAGCAAGACCCCAAGTTTTATTTATTTTGAATGCACAGGAAAGTACAAAACTCTGTCTAGCTAAAGGTAGACTGACTGAGCAGCAACCATGCAAAGCTGTTTCATAAGTACAAAATTTTTAGTCTTCTAGTCCAAACCATATGATCCAGCACCCCTCAGAACTTCCACTTTCAGTGTGGAGCACTTTACCTCCCTCTCCTGACCAAGCCACACATAGCAGTTAATCCACTAGTACTGGTCTCATGCTTGAAGACATTGACATTAAAATCATGGCAATATTTGTAATTTGACATGTGGGAAATGCCACTCCTTGCTAAAAGCCTGATTATCTGTCATTTCTCAAATTAACAATTCAGAGTTCTAAACTACTTGCAACTAACAGTAAGTTTTTTCCTAAAGATTGCATGCCTTCAGCAGGGCAAGAAAAAAAGGAGCACCTACACCCAAAACAATCGGGGACATTGCCTGCTGTCTGAAGAACAATGATTTGCAATTTTTAGGATGTTGAACAGGAGAATAAAAAACAGAAATTATGTCCACGTTACTGTGCATCTAAGGTAAAATTTAAGCAGGGAATTTCATGAACGATTAACATTCTAATCTGGGGAGGGTGAGGAAGCCACTGAAGTGAGCAATTTACCTTCAGATTTAAGCCTAAATTCTGATCAGTAAGTAGACTGGTATAGGTATTAAAAACATCTGTAAATGCTTCATGATTGGTATTGAAAGAAACTGAAGAGTCTATCTGGAACAAACAGAAGAAACAAAAAAATTAGGATTTTTTTTTTTAAATAGTCAAAGAGATCATTGTATTAATGAACAATAAAAAAACCTTAAGCTATAGAATTGTTTACTTCAAAAATACACTGAATTAACAGAAAGCACATACAGAATTATTTTGGTTTTAAAAGGACTATCAAAAAGAACTCTAAAAGCTCCTATACAGTGCAAACAATCATAATGTTGGATATTTTCCAGTTCAAAAAAAAAGTTACGCTCCCTTTCAAAGCCAGATGCTCACTTCACTGCCAGCTAATACAGCAATGCAGCTCACAACCTATGTCCTAAAACATACCTTTTACACAATTCAAATTTAAAATAATTAATTATAAAAAAGAAAAAAAATCTCTCAGTTAAGTGATCTTTGTGTAAATTTGTGTACAGCTACAAGTTCCTAAAAAATCCCAAAAGGATAAAGTGTTTTCAAAATAGAGAAAGAAAAAAAAAAAAAAGACCTAAACTCAAATAGAAATTACAGGTCTTTGAAATAAAGATCTTCCTGTAGTCTGTTGATGTGGCTAGAACGCCTCCATTCTGACTTTCTGGATGCCAGCATGACAAAGAGCATTATCGGAGGCTGCTCAGTTTCAAAGTCTATTCCCTGTACGTACCAATTCTCAAGAAGGGAAAAAGGAAGTGAAAACATTAGAGCAGTAAGAAAAAAAAAAAGGAGGGAGAAGGAAAGAAAAGAGCAAAATCTAGTAGTTTCTGTCTATCCAAACAGTTTTTGTACTTTGCAAATAGAAAGATACTAGATTTTTTATATTCTTCAACTTCCCGACCCCCAAACATAAAATCAGAATGAAACAGCATTTCTTTAAAACAAGGCGTAATTCCTACAGAACTAGAAAAGTTACCTGGATTGTATAAAGTAACACGTACCTGGAGAACTTTTGCCAGCAGGGTCAGGACTGCCATTTTGCTCTCAGGAGCTGAGCCTTTGGCCCACCAGCTGTCAAGTTTTTTCCAGTTTCTTAGTACAGCTGTGACCAGTTTCACTCCTTGCTGCTTGCGTACAGCACGCTCCCTAAAACTCCGATCTAACATGCCATTCAAAATGCTGCCAACCTGAAAGGAAAAACAACAGGTAGATTCTTACATCCCAAACGAAATGATAGGATTTCTTCAGTATGGGCAGTCACGACAAAAGCATCACCGATTCACCGTTGTTGTTAAAAAGAAGAAAATCTCTTCCACTGAGGCTCTTTCTCTGACTAACTGTCCTAAAAGCTCCTAAATTAGAAGCACCTTCCTCTTTGACTCTTTCAGAAAGCTAAGATTAGGATTTAAAAGTGGAAGATCTTAATTCTATCCCACATCCTTTAATATAACAGGATTTAATGGAAAGTAAATGCTTAAAGATCTTTGAAAATCCTACTTTATCAGCAAATTTAAGTTAGATTTATTGCATCACGTAGCAATGCTAGATTTAAATCTCAAAAGCATACAGGAGAAGTCTCTCTGTAGAAAATCAGAAGCACACACTTCAAAAAAGAGACTTCTATCCAATTTACTCCTGTTTCACTCAGTACAACGCAGCAATTCCTTCCCATACCTTTTGTGTGAAGATATGGAGAAATAAAATATAATCCAGAATGACTCTAAAGATCAATACTTGAAAATTTTAGTTAATGTGAAGCTGAGAAAAAAGGAGAAATAGCACATATGGTAACTTATATGCATACATTTTGAAAGGAAACACAAACCACGGCATACCAGATACGCACTCAGTATGCTTCAATCTTTTTTTCTTCACAGTCTAAGACCTGACTAAAACTGAAAATTACTTCCAAACATAACTTCTGCATTCTCTGGAATAGGTGGCAACCACCTAATAAACTGGATTGACTTTATCAACCTTGAGATTTCACCAGATTTGGATGAGTACAGTAAAATAAACCTTATTTTTTCCTCCCGTACATCACAAATGCATAAAACTAAAGATATCCTATTAAATGTACGCCATATTTTTTTTTTAAGTCAGGCAAAGAAAAACAGCAAATAGCAGGCTGCAGAAAAAGTGTGTGTTTGACCCAATTTGGCTATTTACCTTCACTAAATTAATGAAGTAAAGACTTTAAACACTATTGCCACATGTAGTCAGTGTAAATTTGTAGCTTGTCGCTTATCAGGAACACTTTTAAAAGTAAATCTAATGTGGCATGCTCTGCACAGAAAACACTACAGTCATCACAAGCACCAGCCTTTTAAAACATACATACATCTCTCTACAATCAAATTAAACAATTTCTGGTATCATAAAAAATTATCCTCCCTGTGTTTTAAAACATTAGTTGAAAGCATCACTTTTAAGCTTAACATCTCGGACAAAGAAAGATTCAATTGTTTTTAAAAGGATAATCTACTTTCCTGAGCATCTTTTTAAGCAAAAGGGAAAAGTGGACTTTTGATCTCTCTTTTTGACCCTTCTGTTTGTCAGAAGCACTGAAAGAAGGCTTCTCAGTTAAAGCACATTCCTTCGTGGACCTGAAGGTGAGCTCTACATTAGTAAGTAGTGTGGACCAACAGAAGAAAACCTGTTGAGCAAAACAAGTGGTGCTGAGACTGAGTACCTGAGTTTGTCTCTCTTTTTAATACTTTGATTCAGCTCTACTCTAGTTCTGTGGACTAAATGCCCAGTAGTGGTTGAAGTTCACTTTCCAGTTTAGTTTTATACAAATCAAATCCAGTCTGCATGCCCTGGGACCACTCTACAATGAAAATCAAAGCAGAGTAAATGGGAACAATCAGGCTTGCTTTGAAAGGACACTCTTGATTTCAAGTACTATGCAAAAAAAATTCAGAAATTCATAGATTTCAGGATAAGTAATAGGTAAGCACTTTCCATCCAGTTTGACATGAGACAACACACAGCCTAAGCTACATCAGGTTGCCAGAGATCATGAAGGTAGTACCAGTAGGCACCAGAAGGCCATGACAATAAAAACAGAACCGCTACGAGGGCAATGCTGTCCGACATGCAATCAAATGCACTTTTCCTCACTACATACTCAGTTACATCCACCTATAACAACAAAAAAATGTGTTACTTTTAACAGTCCCATTTGACTTTGCCCTTTTAAAGAACTGATCTAATACCATTTGGGGATTGCTGACAGTTGATTCCATAAGCTGGACTATGATCACATCCAGGTTTTTCAGCAGATGTTGATTGATGGTTTCTGAGAACAGGCTGTAGAAATACTGTCCATGAGAGAAATTGATCAGGTTCTTCTGGGATGCTCCTGATAATGGCACAGATAACACCACTGTGTTCAACAGCAGACTTACTAGCTCCTCACACTGTGAAAATTAAAGTATAGAGACAGTTATCTCAACCACATTAAGTTCCACTCATTTCTTACAAAAGCACATGAGATTTTTTTTTTAAAGTTTCTACCCCAAACTCTTTTATGTTGCCAGAAAGCACAAAAATAAAGCACAAATAGAATACTGAAATGCTTGTTATCTACAATTGTCACTCAATTAAGCCAAAGAACCCTTACAGTTCCTCTGTAGGATTATGAATAAAACATCAGCCTCGTATACCCAAAATATGGGTAGAAGACTATTGATGATGAGCATTAAATGATAATTCAGTATTAAAACTGGGGAACCATATCCTACCTGGTCATCAATAGCAAAGGCTAGCTGCAGGAGTCTATCAGCTAATCGCTTACTGCTGATGTCTAATGATGGAAGAGATATCCTTTCACCCCCAGGGGCAATACCTTTATAAACAGCTGAAAGAAGCTTAGAGCCAACTGAGAAATGAGGTCCTTCATCCTGTAGAAATAAATAAACAAGTGGCAATATAAGCTGAAAAACACCCCAAAAAACCCAAACCATAAAAGCCTTCACATCCACCTATACAGCTAATGAAGACACTTGAACTCGAGGTCATTTTCTTATAAAGCGATGCAAATATACCATGACAAGACACGTTTCTACCTGAGGAACAAGATTTTTAACCGGTCAACCCAGTTGCATATAAAGTTCAGAACAAACTAACAGTAATTTTAAAAATCTTGAAAAGATTCTGATCCTCCTGTAGTGTTTTTTCAGATAACAACACTACTACAGAACAGGTGAGCCACAAAAGGTAAACCACACAGCTGCCCAAGTATCACCACCCTACAATCACAGCTCTAGCTTTTGTTTGGAGGTAGAGGATACATGGCAAACACCCCACAGAAATTAAGTATTTTGTTCCTTGCTAAATATAGCCTTGCTCACCAGCAGATAATTTTGCTCAGTCCTTGCGGATGGTGCATAGCCTGTTTTCATTCAATTGCCCTAACTACAACACATGGACTACAATCAGAAACTTTGGAGAAAACTCTTTTGAGTAATATAGTGTAGACCCCCGCCCTCAACTGCTCTCCATCCTATTTTTTCTCCAACTTAGACCCACTATATTGCTTTCTGATCAGCCAGAATGTATTCCTCCAACTTCCCCCATCACTTGGGATGTTCCTTGTTTAAAATTTTTTGAAAAATGCCTCCTTTATAGGATAGTAAATCCCGATTTTTGAGCTTTGAGTCTTGTGAAGCTCACTAAAATGAAGTTTCAAGTAGATTCTAGTTGCCTGCAGGCTCTGGAAATTGGAGAAAGACAGACATAACTATGAAGATTGTTCAAACCTCAGTATTTTGCTACTCAGATTTATAGAATAAACATAAAACATTTATTTCTGATGCTATTCAACACCAGCTCTTCACTGCTGATCTCATTTTACACAACTTCATCTCATCTGTTCCCCGTTTTCATACTGGCCTTTTACACAGAAAAAGCTCTTTACTGTATAAAAATATTCACCATTATTTTCTGGATAAACAATTACCTTATTGTGAAGAACAGACTGAAGCAGGCCAGATTTCTGGAGTTGCTTGCAGGCAGAAAGGACAGCACTAAACCTAACTTGATCAAAACGTGCATCGGAATTAAACAGATCAACAGAACAAAGGTCCTCAAGGCTAATGAGGAAAGAGAAACAATAACATTACATTGGTGGGGAGCTCCATGTGCAACTGCACACAACATCATTTACTTTCCGTTTCTCACAGTGTGTGGCATTCGTTCTGGATTCATGCTCACCAGAAAGCCCCTACTTACCTCTGTAGTGTGATTCTTTTTTTTATGCACAGTTTCAAAGATTCCTTATAGGGAGATTTCATCAAAGCTTTCATGAGCCTTACTGAGATATCTGGAAGATTCTTCATGACCTGCACATCAGCAGTGTTAAAGCCTACGTGGGATGGATCACACACTGTCATCACCAGAAGCTCTATAAGGCTTGCATTAAGCAATTCCTTCTCAAGCAGCTAGAAAGAATAAAACATTAAATAAAATTAAATAAATTTATTTAAAATTCCATTTAGATTTCCCTATTTTATTCTTCATAACTTATCATTAGTCTTTGTATCTAAAATGAAACAAAACATGGAACAATAACTATTCTCACTGCGACTTTTTCCATTAAATGTCTGACTTTCAATCAATTGTGCTAATACAGAGAAACTAAGTATCTATGAAAATATACATACGATACATGCTACCTCATCAAACTGCACATAAGATCTTTTATGTCAACATAGGCCTATTTAAGTCTTGATTATACACCTGTAATCACCTTGAAATCCAGATGTACACCTCTCTGCACACTATTAGAGATTAAAACAAGAGACAGTGTCAGTCTCAGAACTAAACCTGGTGGCATAAAATTCTTAAGAGACTACACTTTATGTAGCTGAATACAGCTTATATTGCACCAAAACTAGGCAAATGGAGAGACTTGAGTATTTATACCAAATTCAGGAAAGAATTGCCACAATCTGCCTTTCTGCCTTTCAAGCAGCTATCACCTCCACACATTTAAGGCCATCAGGAGTCATGCAAGAAATATTCATTCCAAGTACTCCATACAGGATGACAATCTCATAGTCAATGTACAACTAGAAGATATAGGAAACATTAATTCCTCTAATCAAAACTAAATCAACCACTAAAACTCAACTGTGCAATATAATTCTTTTCACTTACGTGCGAAGACCATAACAGTTCACAACACTTAGTCATTACGTTCAATTAAAACACCATTAAAGATGATGTCCTCCAGCAAACTAACCTCACAATGAAAACACAAATCTTTAACTATATCTAAAATTTGTATCTTTTATCCACTACATATTTCAGTGCCTACCTTCCAGAAATCCTGCTGGCATGTTTCCAGGATCATGGTGACAAACTCCATGATTCGGACTATAATTGTACACTTGCTGTAATTATATACATCCCTCTCTTGTGGACTGAACATGTTGCCTTTCGAACTGCAATCAAAGCACTCCTCCACTGCATGGATATCACGCAAAGCAATAGTTTCAAGGAAGAACTGCACAGCTTCCAAGAAAGAGGATCTTTCATTTACACCTAAAAAGAATCATACTAAGTTGAAACGATACAGCCGCTCTCAGCTTTTAAATACATTTTGTGTTTGGAAGAAAACAGTCAAACTGAGATAACAAACAGCAAGCCACGACATCTCACACCAGTATTTTCTGAAAGTCCCATGCCAATTCCAAATATTAACATTCTGAGCAGTGAAGTGTAGCTTTCTACTTACTGATCATTGCAAACACTTATTCATTATGATGATTTAGACGTGTAATAAAAAGGATAAAGGTTTTAAATCCCTAGTTTTGAGTAATTTAGCCCTCCGCCAACTGCATCCAACAAGGATATTAAGTATTGTTTTAAACTAAGACAGAGATGATGCTGACTACCCAGAACTTGTACAAAACTTGATATGTGAAGTAACTATGCAACTGTATTATCAGTGATAAAAAGCATTTTTTTTAGACCTGCAGGAATAATTAAAAGAAAAACTTCTTAAGATGCCCAATGGCTAAACAAGGTACTACTATGCACCTGATCAAAATTCAAATACGAGGCTTTTGGACCTGATGCAGTTGAAGCATCAGGAACTGAAGAAAGGTAACGTACAGGGCTTGAAGTTAACAGCTGACTTCTTTCATTGCTTTCTGATAGCTCCCTCCAGACGTTAATAAAGAGCTACTAAACAGCTTTAGAAAGACTTAAAATAATAATAATAAAAAAAATCTCTTAGTAGAAGACGTTGCTGGTGATTGGATCACTGAGATAAATTTAAAGGTATAGTTACAGGACAAAAAGGAAACATTTTAAGATACACTATTACCAAAGTACTTCTTAATCAAAAAACATCCAGTACAACAACTGCCATTGAAACCCTTGGGAGGATTTGTAGAATTCATCAACTCTACACTTAAGAAAAAAAGCTTAAAGTCCAAGTTATAAACTCATCTTTTATGGGCTTTGTGTAACAGACATTAATGAACCTAATGCAAGAGTTAATCGCTCACCCAGTATTTCATGAGGTTTGATCATTCGCAGCTCGAAGAATGTATTGTAGCAGTCTAGTGCTGCTAAGAACATATCCATCCACCGCATGACAGTCTGTAAACTGGAGGGCTCCTGCATACCATAGAGAGTTGGCTGAGAAAGGATCCCAGACAGAATTTTGGCATCGCTGCCACCTCCTTCAAATTTGTTAATGAGGAAAGAAGCATCTCGGTTTTTTAAGACATCAGCCAGCCAAGAAGATGGAGACTTGTTTCCTGACAGAAATACAAACAGAAATATAAATTCCCTAGAAAAAACACATTTCAAACTAGCAAGGAATTAGAGGCAAATGGACTGACATGCACAAACATTGTGTTTTAAACTGGATCTTGTAGCAGAGAAGGTATTGGTTCTGATCTAGCCTTGGTCATACTACTTAAATTACCCACAAAGAGACCAACTTGTGAGATGCTCCCACTAGCTCCCAGTCAGCAAATACTGCCTTTATAGCTGGAGACAACAGTAGTTCTGGGCCTGTAAGTTCTCTTTCCCATCTGAAAGGAAGTTTGCAATAAAACCCTTTTCTATGCCCACAAACCTTGAGGTTCTCACAATACTTGATTTCCAATATGAGCAACTACTCAGTTTCTATTTAACAGCATTGGGTGAACAGATATTTACTTCAAAAACAACTTTTCTTGTCATCAGTACTTTGCACAGAAAACACAGAGGGAAGACATGCACAGTAAAGCAAAGATAATAGTGCATTCAGACTTACAATACCTGGTAATAAAGGAACAAATTCATAGAAGAGCTCCATGGCTTTATGCCGGCACTCTGTCTGAGGTCGTCCACACTGCGCTAAGAGCCACAGGACAACATCCAGAAGACACACCAACTTAGTAGCTGGAAATCCTCTGCACAAAAATACTAGGGATTAACAGTCCTCACAACATAGTCTTCCAGTTGAAAAACATCAAAATGTTTCATGAGTATTATGAATGTCCTTTTATCTATCTAACCACAGCCCGTCTGGACTATAAGGAAGAGCTCTTCTACAAGCACATTCTGCACTACTTTCCTTTGTCCCCACTCTACTATTGATCCCCAGAGCACACTCTTCGTGGCAAAATTTTAAAAAGGAGAATCAGGTCTCTCTCCTTTTCTTTGTAACAATCAAATAGATAAAAATGGAGAATAAAGCTTAAATTAACCCGCACAGTTTTCCTGTCTCTAGTTATCCAGTCTCCTAACTTACCATGTGCCACAGCAGTGACCTAACTCCCAGATTCCACTTGCCTGTTTCCTTAGGGTCACAGGATAATTCAGCTCAGAAGTGACCTGAGGAGGTCTCCAGTCCAACCTCCTGCTCTAAGTGGAGTCAACTATGCAATTAGACCAGGTGACTCAGAACTTCATCCAGCCTGATACTGAATCGATTCTTGCTTCTTCCACCTTTTTCACTACCTGTCTTTAATCACTGATCATCCTACTGCAGCTTGTCCTACTTCTGCTAACCCTTACAGCAACAACAAAAAACCCAAAACAAACCACAAAAAAAAACTTGGGCGGAATTTCCTTCAAATTCTTTGTAACACCAATGCTGACATTATTATAACCACTGCTGTGAGCAGGACACATGCTTTTCTTTCCCTTCTGTCCTTGACAAACTAAAGCAAGCCCTCTGTTCTGAGCTTAGGAATAAAGAACAACCATCATGACCCTTTTTTATCACCTCCAGCATTTCTCACCAGTGGTTCAACAGACCTATCAGGAGATCTCTATCAGCACCAGTCACAGAATGAATTACCCATTCAGTCCTAAGTATTAATGGAACTACATTGTTAACCAAAATGCAACATTCAAAAAATCAAAAGAATGGCGAATTGCTCACTGTGGTACTCTCCGTTTTCCTTCCTTGTTTAGAGAGGGTGCTTTATGCTTGATTATGCGCTTCAGGTGATTAATAGCATCGCAACATTGTTGAGCGGTACCTGTTAGAAAGAGGGAATTGACATATATTAGCAACGAGGTTAAATGAATGAAGGTTCTATCACTAGAGAAATGGTGCAAGAGACTTACACACAGGATAATGTCTATCACCTCCACTACGCTCATGCTTAGAGAAACTCTAAAATTTTCCCATATGAATATTTCTTCTGGGGCCGCTCCTATCATATACTGAACTGTTTATCTGAAAGAAATAAATCTTTGCAACATCAGTTTTTGGTTTTATGTTCTAATTACTATTAACTGATGAAAGTCAGAGCACTAAAAAAACAGAACAGGAGAAAAGTAAACTTAGTGAAGAATCATTAGCACTGTGGAAGAGGTCACAGATTCTTCATAAGCTACATACTGTTGTAGAGAAAAATGACAAAGCAAACAGGAAAGGATATTACAAAATCATGGAAATTTTCCACAAAATATAGGGAAATGCCAATTTTTCCAACATTTTGTTTGTTATCAAAGAGCAGACTTAAAGATTCTCATCAAGCTACATTTTTACAATGCATAACTGCAAAACCAGGACTCAAATCAAAAGCACACTAGCATTTTCAGTATTACTGTAAAACTGTAAATCATTGTAAATGTGAAAAGCTTCTTTGTCTTGAGCGCAAAATCTTCCACCTTTATATGTTGCAAGGAGTCAATTCAAAGAGTTCCTAACTAGATATCGAATGACCTCTCTATCAGTAATGAAAAATAATCCTTCCTTTGTTGTAAGAGGAAGCACACTTTTCTTCTAGTTAGAGATTCATTATTTGGTTTAGTTTTTCTTTTTTTAGTCCAAGATACAACAGGACGGCTTTTTTTCTTCATTCCATAGTTAATTAATTATAGCTCACCTAATGATTTCTCATCTGCATGGGTTAAGGCTAGACTTTCCAGAAATACAACCAATGCTTCAAATACAAACTGCTCCACCAGAGAATCTTCTTCCCTTTTAGAATTAGGAATAAATATGATGAGGAACTTGAGTAGAAGAAGCACTAAGTGCGAAATTCTAATTAAAAAACAAATTAAAATACTGTAGAGACAAACTGCACAAGATGTTTTCACGAAAAAAACACATCTAAACCACCCTAGAAGAATAGCAATAAAGACTTGCTGATCACCTTTAAAAGGCATAAGTAACTTCCCATAAACTTGCGACAGAAATTTAAACTTTCACACTCCCCACTTGTAGAAAGCCTGAAGTACAAAATTATAGTTAAAAATCAATAATCTGAGTAACTCAGTTTTACAGCTACTGTATTCATTAACAGAATGAGTGTGAGAGGATGACTATTTGAGTTCTTTGCTCAATTCTTTTTATCTCCTTGAACCTTTAGTCCAAGTTAGCTAGTGTTCCAAGCTCTGTTTGCTCACCGAAATTCTCTGTAGATACTGTTAAAAGCAAGCGCTGCACCCAGTCTCTTGAAAGCGCTGGGATGAAGAGCAAGACTATACAACCGTTTAAAAAGAGACTTGGTGTTTGCTGGGCTTTTCTCCTGCTGTCTTGGTGTTGTCTGCTTAATAGACCATTTCAAAAATTCTCGTACACATTGACCACAGAAATCTCTCAAAGTGCTGTCAACTGGATCCACTATGCCACTCTGAAATTATACAACATTTCATTAGAAGAACAGAAAAAAAAAGGCATTGTCCCAGCGCAGTTATTAGAACAGTTTATTTACACAGTATTATTTGTAAGTTAAAAAAAATGTACTCACACTTTCCCAGAAGTAATAAAGCCTCAAAACTACTACTGTCCAAGGAAAGGGAAAGCATTTCCAGCCCTCACAGCACTGGATTAGGTCTCAAAGGTCTGGATTTTTATTCCCATCTCAGCTACTGAACAGTTTAGAAGCCTTGTCTAAGTCACTTCATTTTCTGATTAGCCAGTATGGCAACATTGACTTAATTTATAAAAAGTACTGCAAAAATCTCCTGACCTATCTTGGCTCCAGCCCCTTCAGGTTAGTGCCAAAAGCCAGTTTTCAATTTAAAGCTTTTGTGCCTGGTGAAAGCAAATAAGCTTACAGAAAAATTAAGCACACGTCAAAAGCAACTTTAATTGAGTCGGGGAAAAACCTACGACAAAAATAACGTTTCATTAATCCTCTAAGCACTCTAAAGACTTGCATTTTGAGAATATCAAAGAAATAGAGAAATAATTCATCAAAATCTTGATTAAAAAACATTAAAAGATCACAAAATTGATAACCTGCTTTCCTTCTTTCAAATAAGGAGCCCCTACATCTGCTTAGGTGCTCCTCGTTCTTTCAGTAGTAAAATGATGCTAGTTAAAGTCATCATGGCACAGAAAAAAAGAAAAGGCAGACTTATGACCTACCAAGATAGCTTCCAGGAACACCACCGTATCTTGACTCTCAAATTTTTTGTTGTTCGTAAACCAGTGAATGAGTTGCATGACTAAAGGCTCATACAACTGTCTTGTTACCTGAAAATAAAAAAAGGCAACTACTTTTCCAGTATTAATATATTTCTATGCTATGTTGCTACTCAAAATACATAAGAATAAAAAGAAAAAAATATTTATTTGAAAAAGAGTCTATAAAATAATCAGCTTCATATTACATTCCCATATCAAGGATTAAAGAAAAAAAAAATCTGGTTAGCTACTTTCTATTCAACTAGTCTCAAAAGATCTCTACGCTTGCTTTCAGTAAGATCCTCTGAGACAGACAAAAAATATTGCATGCCATGGACTGATATGCCAATACACAGGCAGGAAAACAAGGAAGTTTGCTTTTAAGCCATATTCTGATTTAAACTCTGTCTTAATATTTACCACATACATTATTCTAACTTGCTGGATTTCAACAATTCTGCTTGTAAGTCAACTTGAGCAAATACCATTGTACTATAACACGAAAGACAGAATCATTAAATATACTTGCTTATAATACAGTGTCTATGTCTGTGTGCATTGGTCTGGATGAATTCAGATACTATTTACCTACAGTTTAAATTTAGCCATATGCCAGGAGAAAGGGTTTCACCTAAACTGGTAACATAACTTCCTGTATATTTTAACAGAAGACAAATCCTTTTAGTCTAAAAAAAGAATCTGGATGCCAGGGTCCAAATAGCAGTCTGAAAAGGCACAAGATCTGTCATTTCAGTGCAGCCGAACCTGTGTGTCTACTCTGTTTTGCGTAAAGGAGAAGAAATACCAAGTTCAGCTGTTTGAATTAAATATATCATCCTCAACTGTCAATGAAGCAGCTACAAATTCTCTCCCAAATGTCCTTCTTGTGAATTGTAGCTTTGCACTCATCCAGTATTGAAATAATCAACCTCACCTCAAATTAGCTTATTACAGAAAAAGAAAAATATAGAAATTAAATACAGCAATAAAGAGCAGCTACTACCACAAACTCTTCGAATCTTGGATCTATCACAACTCTTGAAACGCTCGTGTATTTGTACACTCCCCTGAGTTAGTCTGAATTATACTCCGGTACTGAAGTCTTTGAAAAGGCTTCCACCCCACCTGGCCCTGAAATTCTGAAAAACTATTCCTAAAATAGCTTACAAAATACACCACATTTCGCGCAGGGTGGGGGATGATGGGGAAAGTCCACATGTCAAGGTAATTTCTAATGGGATAACTTCTAAAAATTATAAATGACTTCCCAGATTTAGAGGTATTTTAAACAAGCTAAAAGGCTTATAAATGAATCTGTTTACCTGGTCTACATCACAAGCAAGACGAAGCAGTACTGGAAATACTCGCTTATTTAACTGATACATGGGTGGGGGACCCCGACATCCTTCTGGCATCTGAGATGCTTTCCCCAACATATACGTTACTATGCTATGCAGTAGCTCACATGCTGCAACCTGAAATTTAAAAAACCCTTTCGTTATGCATCCATTCCTTTCAGAGAACAAAAAATTGTGAGCAGGTAAGAATGAGCCAAAAGAAAGGGTGTACTTGAGAAATCACTCCAGTCTGTGCTAAAACATGGAAATAATTTAAGCACATTCTAACTGGTCTTTGTCCTTATGCTCTAGTCTCTACCGTGAGCAGTCACTTTTCAGCTGCAGAAAATTAATCAGTGGATAAGTCACCCATCTCTGTGTTTTCAAGGATACAGTCCTTCTGGAATCTCTTTAGATATCAACATCCCAATCCACCAAAGCAGCACAATATTTGCTGAAGCGCTCTGCTGGACTGGGCCCACAAGCTCATACGCCAAAAGGAGGCCAAAAAACACTGAAGATCAACTAGTTTAAGATTTTCATTTTTATGTTTAGTCTAACTCTCAAAGCACAAGGGTGTCTGATAGAGCTTATAGCAACTTCTGCTCTTTAGTTTTTAAACACTCAAGAATAATTTCATCGTGAAAGAGCATGAAAGCAGCACATTACTACCTACGAATTAATTAAAATAAGTTTTTCTTAATAACTAAGGCATTATTTTTACACAGTGTTTATCAGCTAGCATGAAAAAAGACGCAGAAAAAACATCAATACTTTTGTTTGTCTGTCACTTGCAGAAAGAGCCAGTTCAGTCACACGAGGCAAGAATAAATCCAAGTAGATGACAGGCTTCATATCTGCAAACGGTACAGCAAAGCTCAGACGTTTCTCAGTGTCCCAGGATACACATTTCTTCATCATCTCTTCTGCAGAGGTAGCTAGTGCATTTGAAAACACAGAAAAAACAACAAAAAAAACCACCCCTTTATACAGTATACACAGAAGAAGTATTCCTTTAGCTCAGTCAAAAAAATCTGTAACCTTCCAGCTTCAGTTAGTTTGCCACAAACTGTTAATGCTTCATAAATTACTGAACGTTACAACTACCAGAAGTACATTAGAAGGCTTGGTTTATATGCACATCCAAATAGATGTTTAGCCATCACATGGAAAAAATGATTGCAGCCAACATTTCAGGAGATTGCCAGAGCAGGCTCCAGTTTCAATCCAGGTAAGTTTGGAGACAATTATAAACCCAGAAGACACAGAATCACACTTAATTTCAAATACTTCTTTAAGACATCCAATATATTACTCCTGTCTTCTACTGTTATAAACAATTCTTGAAGATCAGATCAGACAAACAGCTCCAACATAAAGACTTCTGCAGCTGCACAGAGAACAACAACATTTATGGCTATGTCCTCCAGGAAAAATTGACATAATTACTCCCTTCTTTCCCTATATTCCCATATTTGTTAATCTGGTTAACAAAGTCTGACCACACTTTGTACTTCATTTCCAGGGAAAAATGCTACTTTCCCTCAATATTCCTGAATAAGCAACAGAGAAGTACTCAGCAGAAAGAAAATTGATAAAAGAAAGAAACAACACTTCTATACAACTGACTAAATTTTGTGCTGAATTTATCCCTTAAAGCTCATTATCAGGTACTTAACAGTATATTTTCCCACTCTTGTTTTAATTAGATTTTATTTTATTAGATTTATAATAATTAAACTATAAAGCTTATTCACAGACTGAACAGAGAAGAACAGAAAATGTTTTTTTGAGGAGGCACTCAAATGGAGCTCTACTGCTTGGACCTACTAAAGGCATAGTGAACCTTAAATTCACTAATTAAGAAGTAAGGTCGCCAAGACGTACACAATTCACAGGCTGCAGTTCTGCAAAACTGGACTAAGTGGGAATTGTAGTAAACAGGTGGAAAAACGTACTAAGGAGTTGTGAACCATGGCAAAGCTTTAAAATGGCTTTGGAGCCAGAGGGCAAAGGTGCAGAATAAATACAATCATACAGTCATAATGTAATTTTTTATAATGTTAGTTAATAGTTTGTTCTCCTGAACTCCAAAACTGAACAAAAGTAATTTTACTTAAACAAGAGGAACAGCTTTCCTGGAAGAGCTCATGAATTCTTATAAAGTGATGTTGCGACCTCACTAAAATCAACTTTTGAGAAGGACAGTAGATGCATGTAAACATTTTTTTATTTTTTTACACTCACCTGTAATTAAGTTGTGGTTTATCTGTCCTCCCAAAGATCCAAGAAGGCATGCCACTCTAGACCTTACTGCTTCCAAAGAGGGGCTGTCATCCTAAATAATTCCACAGATTTATATTAGTGAAGGATGAGTTACTTCTATATATAAATAATTTGGTTTACATAGGTTTTATTAATATACTAACATACATATTAACATATGGATGAAGGAAATGTGAAGAACCTGCGGTGGGGGGGGATCTACATCAAACAAGAAAACAGGTTTAATTCAATAAGAAAAAGAGCGGAGCACCGGAAAGCATTTTCACCACATTTTGTGGACTTTCAGTTGCCATTTCTGAAGGTTAAAATTTTATCATCATAGATAACGTACACCTACAAAATGGCATAGTAGTCTAAAAAGTGGAAGTAAATCATAGAATCATAGAATGACC